GGACTCAATCCGATATCGATTGGTCCAAGAAATCGGACTATTCAGGTTCGTAGCAAGTTCGTTCTGAAATGGAGTAGTTGGTGTATTGCATAGTTTTAGCCATTGGATTTCACTCCAAACCAACCAAATGACTCCTCCCACCATATTATGTTGTTCCCCAAGTTTTGGACTCAATCCGATATCGATTGGTCCAAGAAATCGGACTATTCAGGTTCGTAGCAAGTTCGTTCTGAAATGGAGTAGTTGGTGTATTGCATAGTTTTAGCCATTGGATTTCACTCCAAACCAACCAAATGACTCCTCCCACCATATTATGTTGTTCCCCAAGTTTTGGACTCAATCCGATATCGATTGGTCCAAGAAATCGGACTATTCAGGTTCGTAGCAAGTTCGTTCTGAAATGGAGTAGTTGGTGTATTGCATAGTTTTAGCCATTGGATTTCACTCCAAACCAACCAAATGACTCCTCCCACCATATTATGTTGTTCCCCAAGTTTTGGACTCAATCCGATATCGATTGGTCCAAGAAATCGGACTATTCAGGTTCGTAGCAAGTTCGTTCTGAAATGGAGTAGTTGGTGTATTGCATAGTTTTAGCCATTGGATTTCACTCCAAACCAACCAAATGACTCCTCCCACCATATTATGTTGTTCCCCAAGTTTTGGACTCAATCCGATATCGATTGGTCCAGAAATCGGACTATTCAGGTTCGTAGCAAGTTCGTTCTGAAATGGAGTAGTTGGTGTATTGCATAGTTTTAGCACATTGGATTTCACTCCAAACCAACCAAATGACTCCTCCCACCATATTATGTTGTTCCCCAAGTTTTGGACTCAATCCGATATCGATTGGTCCAAAATCGGACTATTCAGGTTACAAAAAAAAAAAAAAAAAAAAAAAAAAAAAAAAAAAAAAAAAAAAAAAAAAAAAAAAAAAAAAAAAAAAAAAAAAAAAAAAAAAAAAAAAAAAAAAAAAAAAAAAAAAAAAAAAAAAAAAAAAAAAAAAAAAAAAAAAAAAAAAAAAAAAAAAAAAAAAAAAAAAAAAAAAAAAAAAAAAAAAAAAAAAAAAAAAAAAAAAAAAAAAAAAAAAAAAAAAAAAAAAAAAAAAAAAAAAAAAAAAAAAAAAAAAAAAAAAAAAAAAAAAAAAAAAAAAAAAAAAAAAAAAAAAAAAAAAAAAAAAAAAAAAAAAAAAAAAAAAAAAAAAAAAAAAAAAAAAAAAAAAAAAAAAAAAAAAAAAAAAAAAAAAAAAAAAAAAAAAAAAAAAAAAAATAGAACATCTCCAATGGGCTCCTCCCTAGATGAGATTCTAAGTTAAAATTTAGAGTGAATGTCAGGAACCCAACTCCAAATATGCTCCTGTATTGATCCTAAAATAAGGAGACCCCTGGGTGCTCTAAAATATGAGAGAGAAATGTACACTTATATTTGTACATCGTTCTCTTCACCCCCTCTCTCTTGTTGAACAAAATACTTCTTCTTTCAAGCCAAATCGCACAAAGGAAATCATTAAGATGGGATTTCTAGATGGCTAGGATTTACATTAACTGGGATTCTGATAGATTTCTTTAATGTATTTTGCATCTCCATCTGATGATATATAGGAATTGAAGGAACTTTTCTGTTTTTAGTGATATGATCATGTTTTGTTTTGTTAAATTGTACTGATAGGAATACTGGTCAGCATGGTCACATTCTTTATGGATTTGTGGGACTAATTGATGATAGCATAATTCAATTTTCCCTAGCTAGCTTATGATCTAAGTATCTCAAAATATGAAGTTCTACAGTTTTCTGAATGTTGTAGCTTTCTGCATCATTATAAAAAACACTCAGAGGCTCGTTTTAAGTCCCAAGTTTCATTTAGTGCATTGGATGAACACTATCAATGTGGTGTAACTTATTGTGTTTATTCAATTTTAGTATAAGCTGATGAGTTATTTTTTCTAGTTTCCCTCTTTTCAGCACATTTGAGTCCTCTTCTGAAGATGAGGAGGTTGAGTCCTCTTGAGGAGTTGATCCTCTGAATATTTTATGAGGATCTGGATGCAGACTCTACAGAGTGAGTTCTTGAAGTTTGGAATAGCAAGTTGCAATTTCACATCTCTAACTTCATCAATTCTTGAGAAACAATCCCATTTCAATTCCATGTGTTGAAGTGTATTATAATTCTGTACTGGATTTCATTTGTATATCATTCAAATGTTAGAGCAGATCTGATGTTTTGTATATTGCCCTTTTTTTTTCAGTTGAAAAAATTTCGTATTGAGACTGGCCACCATTTGTCACTTTCCATTTTAGTATAAGCTGATGGGTATTATTTTTCTAGTTTAATATTGTTTCCCTATTTCAGCACATTGATGAGGAGTTGAGTTCTTCTGAAGATTTTATGAGGATGTGCATACAGAGTTAGTTCTTCAAGTTTGAATAGCAAGTTGCAATTCCACATCTCAAACCTCATCAATTCTTGAGAAACAATCCCATTTCAATTCCAAGTGTGTGAAGTGTATTATAATTCATGTACTGGATTTCATTTGTGTATCATTCGAATGTTTGAGCAGAATTGATGGTTAAAGCATAAGTTCATGTAATTTTTGAGTTATCAAGGATTGATGTTAAATTCTCTCTTCAATTAAATAGTTCTTGAAGATCCCTATGCCGCAATTTTTTTGACTTTGTTAGCTGAATACAACATCAAATTTCATAAACTCGCCTACTTATCTTTCATTACTACTCAAAGTTACTAATCAAAATAAAAACACAGGATTCCAGTGTTGCTGCAGACATAAAGACTTGCGGCAAAAAGCTTTCACTAGTACAATTGTTAACATTGCATTTCCTTCACCACTACAAAAATCTTGAAGATTTTTTTACAAGAATTGTGCAAAATGAAGCCTAGTTCAAATTCAATGACGAAAGCAGGATTCAACTAATACCAAATTCAGAAGCATTGATGACAAATTTCCCATCAATGGGTTAATTTTTCATTCTTCAATTTCCCATCAATGGGATTAATAATTTTTCAATGTCACCAAAATTAACATATTAAAAAACTTTGGTTGATCGCTTGGTGTAAAGATTTCAGAGAGACAGGCTAGCAGCCCACACTCAGTATGTGTGGAGTTTTATCACAAAAGATATGGGTACTATTAATAGTAGAACCACTTAATATATATTTTATTTTATTTTGTCAAGATTCCAATGTGGGATTTTTTACATTCTTCAACACTTGGGAACATTTAGCTATGATCTTACCGGTATAAATTAGAGGTGGACATGGTTTGGTTTGGTCCGGTTTCACCCTCAAACCATAGCTGAATCAATTAAACTTTCACGGTCTGGTGTGGTTCAGTTTGAGCTAAAATCAAAATGAAAACCAAACCAAACCAAACTGGTTTGGTGCAGTTTGGTTGGCCGGTGTAGGCATAAAAGAAAACATGCTTACAATAACAAAAAACCTGTGATGCAAGACTTGTAGGACCTAAATTTATTAGTTTCCTAGATTCTCTAGTTTTCAAATTCTAGTAGGATTCCAGATTTCCAGTTTTAAGTTTCCTATTTTATTTGGATTAGAATTTCTATTTAAGCAAGTGATTTTTATCCTGTTATGTCTAGGTTTTAGTTTGCTATAAATACCCCCATATAGTTCTTTAAAATTCAGATTTGAATGTGAGTAAATCTTATCCTAGAACTCTCTGATTTCGTCCCTTCGATCTATATTTCTTCTCCTCGATCTCCGATATTCTTCTTTGTTCTACTGTTTCTGCCCTTTATCTTGTCTTTTTGATCTCTATTTCTTCTCCTCGGTCTCTTATATTCTTCTTTGTTCTATTGTTTGAGTGCTTAATCTAATACCGACAGGCTGTATTGCATCAATTGGTATTTAGAGCCTCTTGCTCCGTCGCTGTTACTCTGGTTCGTTGCCTTTGTCGTCATGGCTCCCAACATCACCGTTGACAATTTGGCTGAACAACATCAAGAATTCAAGGCAAAAATTTCTACAGATTTCATGATGCAGCAAGTTTAGTAAATACACACATGGACCATTGGGATCACGTTCATGCATGAGGAAAGTATTAATAACCTATAAGTGTCTCTTCGTATGTGAGAGTTATTTAGGGTCATGAATAAAGTTATGGATAGTCTTTTCATCTTTGTGAGTTATAGGGAGGTTTAATGTGAAGTTATCATTAGGAGGGAAGTTGGGATAGGAAGGGTTTAGGAGAGTTATGAGGAGTTATCTCATCCTGATAAAGAGGCACCTATAAATAATGCATGAAATTGTAAGAAAGGGGAGTTGATGTTTGTTTATTGAATGAAGATTGAGATTTTTCTCTCATCTCTTTACTCTTTTCCTGGGTATTCTCAGAATTAACAGATTAGAGTTTAGTTCTGGGTATTCTTAGAATCAACGGAGTTAAGTTTTCTTGAAATTATCCTTTGTTCTTGTTCCACTGCATCAGTTGATATCAGAGCCTGGTTTCAGTTGCAAAACTGAAATCCTGGTGAGGAACTGCATGCCAGTTGTGTAGTTAGTCAAATCTACATTAGCTGTTGTCAAAAAATGGTTAGTGGTGATCATACATTTGATCATTTAATAGATTTGGATCTCCCTCCAGTATTTGATCGATGTTCAGATGGTTCTTGTGAGATTTGTTGTGATTATTATTTTACTGCTGAGAAGGTTTTTGACATGAAACTACTGAAACAAATTGAATGCATTGAAGAAGTTGTGGAAAATTATGTCAACCTTCATATTGCAATTGTCAGTGATTCCATCGCTTTATTCAACTCTCATGATACTTTCGAAGTTGTTGAATATATTGATTGCATGAGGGTTGAAAATTTCAGTCGTCATAATGCAACCACTTTGGTTGATACCATAATTCATAATATCTGGTTTAAGAGATTGGCCGTGAAGAGTTTACACAATTGGAGAATATTCAAATATTCCAATATTTATTTCTTTGGAGTGGGAGATTTCAGTTTGAAACCAACAATCAATGATCATGATTTTAATCCAAGAAGGCATAAATTCAAGGACAAATTTTTGTCAACCCGGGGAGAATGATGCTGATAAGAAGCGTCGTTTTATGGAGTTTAATGTTGGAGATTTTGTTTGGGCCATTCTTACCAAGGATCGTTTTCCTGTTGTTGAATATAACAAATTGACTGTTCGCAAAATTGGACCTATGGAAATCCTTGAGAAGATTAATCTGAATGCTTACAGATTGAAGCTTCCTAGCCATGTTCGCATGTCTGATGTGTTCAATGTGAAATATCTTGTTCCTTTCCATGGCTCCAACTCTGATGATAATCCAAATTCGAGGGCGAATTTCTGTCAACCTAGAGAATATGATGTAGCAAGTTTTGCAAATACACACATGGACCATTGGGATCACGTTCATGCATGAGGAAAGTCTTAATAACCTATAAGTGTCTCTTCGTATGTGAGAGTTATTTAGGGTCATGAATAAAGTTATGGAGAGTCTTTTCATCTTTGTGAGTGGAGGTTTAATGTGAAGTTATCATTAGGAGGGAAGTTGGGATAGGAAGGGTTTAGGAGAGTTATGAGGAGTTATCTCATCTTGATTGAGAGACACCTATAAATAATGCATGAAATTGTAAGAAAGGGGAGTTGATGTTTGTTTATTGAATGAAGATTGAGATTTTTCTCTCATCTCTTTACTCTTTTCCTGGGTATTCTCAGAATTAACAGATTAGAGTTTAGTTTCGGGTATTCTTAGAATCAACGGAGTTAAGTTTGCTTGAAATTATCTTTTGTTCTTGTTCCGCTGCATCATTTCATCAATTTGGAAAATCAGTTTGCCAAATTGATGGCTGATCACAAGGCTAAAGTTTCGTCCATGTGCACAGATATTGCTAAGTTACAAGCTTCCGTGACGTTGCTCAACCACATCTCAACCGCAACTCTTGAACCATCCTCCACATCCGCTATTCTCTCAAATTCGTCCACACCGTCTCTACAAGCTAGTCTCCTTCCCAATCCATCTAGGGATTCCAAGTTCCAAGGCCACTTGGGCCTTCCATCCTTTTCTGAGGGGACATCTATGGTTCGATCCGAACCAATTTTTTCCGCAGGATCTGTGTCTAAACCACATTATACCCAACATACAATGGGTTCTTCTCTAGTGGACGCCACTATCCCTCCCCCGCCACCTCGACCCAAAGAACAAAACATCATCCACAGAAACTTGGGTTTTGAGATTGCTCGTCATGCTAAGCCTACTGCTCCCGACTTCGATGGTCGCGGGGATCCTACTCTTTTGTTGATTGGATATCGGTTATGGAAGATTATTTTGAATGGTGTGATATGTCTGATGCACAACGGATTCAGTTCGCCAAACTCAAACTGGTAGGAGCTGCAAAGTAATGCTGGAAGGCTACCGAGCACCATCTTTAACAACTCGGACAAATCCCTGTGATTTTATGGGATGAGATGAAATTGAAACTCTGAGAACAATACCTTCCATCTTTTTATCGTCACCAATTGTTAGATCAATTATGGACTCTTTCCCAGGGTACTTCAACAGTCCAAGACTATTATTCCCACTTTGTGGAGCACAAATTGCGTTCTGCCGTGCAGGAAGAGCTTGTAGTTATAGTTTCTCGTTTTATTCATGGCCTTAGGGATGATCTCAAACACGAGGTAAGTAGGCCATGTCCGGATGTGTTGGAGGACGCCTATTACCAAGCCTTGGGAGCTGAGACATATTTGTCACCACAACATTCAGGATATTCTGGTCAACTTGCAACTGCCAACCAAACTCTTCCCACTATAGATATGCAGACGGGGTTTTTAGGACCATCTAACCCACCTGCACCACCACCTAACAAAGGACCGGCTGTTTCTACTAATGCTCGCATCGAATGTTTCCATTGCCATGCCAAAGGACACATTGCTTCTCGTTGTCCGCAACGAACTTTAACTATCAACACTCCCACTAGTGAGCTTTGTGAGATTGTGGAGCCTCTCGAAGGTGTCTATGATCCAAACATTGATGATTGTTGACCCTCGTCCCCTATTATTCATACTTGTAGTTGGCGTTGTCGTCATTAATTTACCTTTTGTGGTTGTTTACTCGTCGGAGTTGAGTTCTTTCGCCGGGAGAGAATGATGCAGGATTTCTACTTTTCCAGATTTCCTGATTTCTAGTTTTAAGTTTCCTATTTTATTTGGGTTAGAATTTCTGTTTAAGAAAGGGATTTTTATCCTGTTATGTCTAGGTTTTAGTTTGCTTTAAATAACCCCATGTAGTTCTTTAAAATTCAGATTTGAATGTGGAGTAAATCTTTTCCTAGAACTCTCTGATTTCGTCCCTTCGGTCTATATTTCTTCTCCTCGATCTTTGATATTCTTCTTTGTTCTACTATTTCTGTACTTTATCTTGTCTTTTCGATCTCTATTTCTTCTCCTCGGTCTCTTATATTCTTCTATGTTCTATTGTTTGAGTGCTTAATCTAATACCTATGGGCTGTACTACATCAACCTGTTAACATCTTCATTCCATCAAAATAATCCTAAAACTAAACTTGCTCCTAACCAAGGTCTAAAATATTGATGGTATTAGAAATATCGGTTGTTCAAAAACACGGAAATTTCTATGGAAATATTGGGATATTATCGATATCGATAAAAATTGAATAAAAACCATGGAAATTGTAAGAAAAACTTGGAAATTTTTATTGAAACTTTGGAGGATGTTTATTTAGTCAATTATCTATTAGTTTATCACAAAAAATTAGAAGGTAATGCATTGCATGATGGGTTTAACTGATTTAAGTTGATTATATAGAGAGCTGACAAACACTGTGAGTGTAGAAAATATGTAGTAAGTAAGGAAAGAAGATTAAATGCACCATAATCATTTATATATAATGATTTACTGCAATATTTTACACTTTATACATTGCATGGTAAGATACATGAGTGACTTAGTACCACATAGAGTTCTTTTGAGGTTCAAATTTTTCACTTTCTTCATCATTTTTATGTGTAGAGTAAGTGTATTATGAAGAGTAGTCATTAAATGATAAATCCCCAAATAGTTTTGCATGTAATTGTTAACATGCCTCCCGTATGGATCTGAGATTGGTTGACATTGTCCATAAAAAAAATCATTTGAAGATTGGGTCTCGGATTCTTTCCATGAGCCGCTCGATTCTATCTCAAAAGGAAAGGTCAAAGACTCAATTCTCATGTGAAAATCTAATTCTTGAAAGGAAACAAAACAATATAAATGTATATATTTTAGCATATTATCACAAAAACATAAGTAACATGGTGGTTAAGGCGTTGGATGAGTGAAATGCTAGGGGTTTGAATCCCCTTTGCATGTGTGCTTTGTGTTTTTTTTTCCCTTTCTTTTTCATTGCATCGATATTTTCAATATTTTCGATATTATAGCGATATTGAAGCGATATTTTGAAAAAATATTGCTGAAGTGTGAACGAAATTATCGACATCGATATTTTCCGATATTATCGATATTTATACGATATGTGTATGGATACATTCCGAAATATCCCTGACTCGAAAAAAACGATAATATCCTCGATATTTCGTCGATGTTATCGATATTTTAGACTATGCTCCTAACAAACATAAACATTTTCATCAAAGTTCATCCAAATTTCTAGCAACGAACTTCAACATACAATCCCATATTTCATACAAACACAAACAAATTTCAATACCCAATTGATTAATACAATTGGAAATTACATACCAACTAGTCAACTACAACATTCATTATGATTTTATCAAATTAATGAAAGAACAAAAAGCCAAACAAACACATCACTTCTTATTCTTCTGCAAGGCATTTATGAGAGAGCCATTAACCACATACTCTGTCACTGTTGGCACAGAACCTCCCGGCCCATCAAGCACAACACCATAGAAGCTACCACATTGAGGTGGTGCAAATCAGAAAGTTTAATGGCCTTGTTCCAGAAATCATCTCTTTGATTAATAATACGAAATCTACAAGATAGGGACCATGCAAGTGAGGTATTAATAATAAAAAATTAATAGCTTTTGGAAACTAGTGCAATGAAAAGATAGATCATTTATTCTTCCATAAACCAATTCTCTTAGCTCTTCCCACACCTTGACAGACCCAATCCCATATTTTCATAAATACAAATAATTGATTAATACAAATCAAATTAGAAATTTCAAAACCCAATTGATTAATTGACATCTTACAAAGCAGAGTAAGACAACAAAATAAAAACAAAAACTGGGTATGATTCAAGAATTGAAACAAACCTTAGTTCTAAGAGGGTGGGATTGAAGTGGTATGAGCTATTTTCTCCAAGCCCCATTGAGTATCTCAGACATGGTTTTGCAGTTGCGAATTAAGAGGAAGATACAAGAGGCACAACTAGGTTTTCGAAGAAGGAAGAGATGAGGTCAACAACATGGAGGTATTGAGGCTTATAATGAGATCTGGCGGCTGCTTCGCATGGGGTTTATTTTCAGATGAGGTTTGAGTTTTAGTTATAGAGAAGAGAAGAGAGAGGCTTCGACTGTGAGTGTAGAGGAGGGTTTTCTTGGTTTTGTTTTGTTTTGGGGTCCAATTAGGTGTGAAAGGGTATATAATATGCCATTCTACTAACCAATTGTTGTTTGACACATGTACATTAAATAAAATTAATATTAAATAGAGTTATATCGGTTCGGTTTGGTTTAGGATAGTTTCAAAAACGTTCAAACCGCAGCCGAACCAAACCTACCCGGTTCGGCCGATGTAATCGAATCGACCGGATTGATGCCCACCCCTAGTATAAATACGAGCAGATCCTCATGGTTTCTATGAAAAGCCCATTGCCTATGTGGGCCTCATGCTCAATTGTCATGACAATGACTATTCGATGCTTAACCCCCATTGTTCGATTCACTTGCCATCAATATAAAAAGGAAATTAATTATCTAGTGATTTTGGAGAATTTAAAATTCCAAATCACATATCTTCCAAAACACTTTTGTTTGTACCATAGCTGATCCTACCACTCACCTCATGAAACATGGAAATAGTACAGAGTGAGGAAACATTCTGGCTCACCGATAGACCAGATAAGGTACGAATCGATAGGCGACCGATTCATCACAAGCCATAGTCGTCACCCGCTAATTTGCTCGCGCTCCTGGAAGCTCCTGGGACATAACAATCGATACGCCATGCCAATTATACAAGAGGATCTCGAAAAGTCCCCCTTGATATTTTGCGAACTCGTGTCGACCTCGGAGGGCACTCCCACAAGTCCCACATCGAAACTAAGTACTAAGAGTATTCGAAATGCTCTCTATAAATAGGACCCCTTGCCCTAGACAAGAGGTAAGATCTCTTAGCTTGATTTACGCTATAAATACTTGCTACAACAGAGAATTCTCTCCCAAACTTACTTTGCCAACGGATGGTCTTGGGCTGGTACCACACCGGTACTCTCGACCTCATCCATTATTTCTTCTCTTAGCCCAGAACAAAGCATCACATCTCGAAGTGTTGTATGCTTGCATTAAGGGTTTACTAGGCCGAAGCATCACATCACCTGTAGGTTGCATCTAACTCTATCTGTTTAGTTTTAGGGCAAACAGATTGGCGCTGTCTATGGGAAGCGACTGGCAATCAACCCATATCTCCCTTTCTCGAAACCTATGAATCCACCTTCATCCCTTGCGACCGATGGTCTTATCCTCGGCCTTACCAGTGGACCAAGCACCGCTCCCCTACTCGGCACCCCCCAAAACGGAAACGCCCGTTCGGCAGAACACCCTGGAGGTTAGGATGGAAGCCTTACAACAGGAAATGACAAAAATGCAAGAACGCAACAATATTCTTTCCTCCAAGCTCGACGAGACTCAAAGACAGCTGTTTGAACAACAATCATAGTCGACCCCAATTACAGGACGGTTTGAAGCAGACCTTGCAGCTTCGGCAGGAGCAGTCCTTCAGAAGCGTACCAAAACCTAGCGAACGTGAGAAGGAAAGAAGCCAGCAACAGGCATGCCATCCACTTCCCGAAGGCTGTTCGTACTCTCTCCGGAGGAACGCCATCAGGAATACCAAGTTTACTCCGATGTCAGGATAGACTTAATGATCGCCACAAGGAACTCCGGGCATCCCCAGTCCCGATCCAAACGAAACTCGACGGTCGGCATGTGGATGCACTTGGACCGAAATCTCCCCTACGCCGAAGGTACGATGCGATTGGTTCAGAAGAAATGGACGAATCAGACTATGTTCCGATTTCACCCAGAACCACAAACTCATACCATTCGGCAGGGTCATGACCTTCTAGACAAGAGTAGCCTAGCTCCCGGTCTGATAGAGAGGATGATCGGCAGAAGAGAGGCCTTGGCAAAACCTCTGACCGAACCACAGGTCGAGAAATGCAAAGACATAGTGCCCGCCAACCAATTGGTCCCCAGACATCAGAACCCTTCTGCGACGACCTCCCCCCTGCCGATCCTACTATCCGCCTCCTCCTCTAGAAGGTCAACCGGATTAAGGAAGAATAGAACCAAAATCGGACACCAACTCGAGGAAAGGTACAACTGGGACTGTTCACTAGCTGAATCTGAATCTTCCAACATGACAAAGAAGTCCAAGCACTCCGAATATCATTTTACACAAGAGTGGAAGATCTTGTGACCCACATCCATACTTTCCAATCAACTATGGGTTGCAAAGGGCTCACCGATGAAGGCCAGTGCTTACTATTCCCCTCCACCTTAGCTGGAGCCGCCCTAAATTGGTTATATGGACTGGAGCCAGGTATATTAGACTCTTTCGATCAATTGAAACAAACTTTCCTCAATAATTTTATGATATAGACCGAGTGGTTAGAGAATGCCAAAAATCTCTTCCGCCTTAAAAATCTTGCCGGAAATCGCCTCTCACAAGCTCTGTTTTGGTCCTTTTATACCATCGGGAAACGAAAAGATGCAACTCTTCACAGCCCTCCCGAGATGTGTCACACATGCACAGGGAAGCCTAAGAGTCATAGCATCCCACTTCAGCGAGCGGTTCAAATTCTCAGACTTTTTAGAGCGCAACTTCACCAACATACGACAGGTGCACATTGGTTGAGTTCTCACTCCCCTCTCATGCCGAACGGCAAGCGCACATTGGTTGGGTTCTCACTCACCTCTCGTGCCGAACGACAAGTGCACATTGGTTGGGTTCTCACTCCCGAATGGAAGCACACATTGGTTGAGTTCTCACTCACCATTCGGCGCACATTGGTTGAGTTCTCACTCACCTTTTGTGCCGAATGGCAGGCGCACGTAGGTCGAGCCTTCACTACCTCTCACGCCTTCGACCCATGATGCCGTTTAAATCCAATTCTCCAGAACCCCTCTTGCTCGGAGACTTGGGGGACTCCATGACTACCATCGGCAGAGTACACGAGGACGCTCATGTCCGAGTCAGAATGCCGAAAATCGAAGACAAGTCCCCAACCAAGAAGTCCCTTCTCAATCGGAAACTTGGGGGACTCCTGTTTGTACCATAGCTGACCCTACCACTCACCTCATGACACGTGGAAAGAGTACAGAGTGAGAAAACATTTCGGCTCACTGACAAACCAGATAAGGTACAAATCGGCATAGGCGACTAATTCATCACAAGGCATAGTTGTCACTCTCTAATCGGCTTGCTCTCCCGAAAGCTCCTGGGACGTAACAATTGGTACGCCATGCCGATTATACGAGAGGATCTCAAAAAGTCCCCCTTGATATTTTACGGACTCGTGTCGACCTAAAAGGGCACTCCCACGAGTCCCACATCGAATCTAAGTACTAAGAGCATCCCAAATGCTCTCAATAAATAGGACCCCTTGCCCTAGACAAGAGGTAAGATCTCTCAGCTTGATTTACGCTATAAATACTTGCTACAATAGAGAATTCTCTCCCAAACTTACTTTGCCATTGGAGGGTCTTGGGCTGGTACCATACTGGTACTCTCAACCTCATCCATTATTTCTTCTCTTAGCCCAGAACAAAGCATCACATCTCGAAGTGCTGTATGGTCGCATCAAGGGTTCACTAGGCCGAAGCATCACATCACCTGTAAGTTGCATCTAATTCTATCTGTTTAGTTTTAGGGCAAACAACTTTTATTTTGGAAGCCAAGCTAGAATAAAATAACAAATACGGTGTACAAGGCAACCTTATGATAATTGGATTTGGGACAATAATAACAGTTACTTTATAAAAATATGTAATTTGAAAATTAAAATCATATATTGTTTTCACTTTCCTTTAATGTGTGACACCATTTTTTAAATTATGGAAAAAAAATTGAAATCTCACATTTAGTTATATTTCCATACACCTCCTTTTCCTGTGTGCAAAATTTTTATGGAAGATTGTATTTTCTACCAAAAACAAAATCAGACCCTCTCTTCCCTATAAATCTAGAGCATTTCTCCATTCTCAGACCATGTGCATTTGATGTCTTCTCTCCTTTGTTTTGCCTTGTTGCCTCCATTCTTCCTGTTTAGTCGTTATAACTCTCTCTTTTTTCCTTTTCTTTTTCATTTTTTGTTTGTTTGTTAATAATGGAGGATTAGGCGAGGTTAGCTCCTCAATGATGTTATAACTCTCTCTCTATCTTTTTCTCTTCATTAAAATATCTAGGAGTACTTCACAGATAAGCATTTCATCGGTACTCTCCACCTCCATACAAGAAAAGGTGCCACTTGTGGCAAGTGAAAATAATCATTCACATAATTTATATAGAGATGTTGCCAATTTCTCATAGGTTTTTTAGTGACTTACTGGTCTGATTGGTACATAAGAAAATTTTCTCTCTCAAAGATTTGTGGTCCGAAACATCAAATCTTTCTCTCATAGGTTGTTCTGGTGGCTTAGGGCCTTGACCAGTCACTCTCTAATAATCGTTTTGCACAAGTTCAAGCAAAGACAAAAAGAGTGCCGACGGCAATGATTGGAGATATTTTGGTATCATTTGAACTTTGCCAATATTTTTCTAAGGATGCAGATGTTGAGATGGTAAGTTTTTCTCTTTTTTATTTTTATTTTTATTTATTTTAATATTTAAAATAAATATTCTTGATAGAGATAAAGATAAAGGAAATATATGAAAATGTCAGCGATGAAGGACGGTAGGGGAACGTAGGAGGGAGGTGGAAGGATGTGTATGTCATTGTAGAAAATGAAGACTAAAAACTAACAATAACTTTAAGTTATTTTTCATTTTCTAGCTTTAAATTTGTTTCATTTTCATTCTTTCACTATGCAATCTTGGTTTATCTATGCCTAGGCTGAGACGAGGAGAATCACAAGATCAGCACCATCGAATAGAAAATGGAATAAGTCTTCATATATCATTGAATGTAGCAATGATATTTCAGAGGTGAATTGATGACATGAGCATTCTTAATTAATCAAGGAGATTTATTTCCTTAATTAGTTAAGGGATTTACTTTCTTATTTTATATAGTTGACATATCATTGTACAATTAAGAGATATAATCCTAATTGATTACTATATCTATTTTCTTGTAAAGCACCCATGTAAATTGTCACGATCCGATTCGAAAATAAGGAATATTCTCAAATCATGATGTGAGTCATACCATAGTCATAAGAATAAAATCCTACAACCATGATATGATGAGAAATAAATACACAAACAATACAAATTTAACACCCCGACCCAATTTTAATTATACAAATTTATAAATAAACCCAATTCTAGACATGTATTTATAAAAAAACCCAAGCACTATTTAAACATAGAAACACACCCAAAATCAACCTCAAAATCAACAATTGTATATTTTTTGGGTGTGTTTATAAATGAGTTTTGAGTGTGTGTAATGATGAGTTTTGGGTGTGTTTATAAAGTGTTTTGGGTGTTGGGTTTTTTTATAATTTCAACCCCCATTTTGGGTGTTTTAGTGAAACTCCCTTTTAATTATTCATTTAAATTATTTAATTATGAAATTACAATTTTTCCCTTGGGATAGGATCATTTTGGTCACTTTTGGTAGTATTTTGGGGAATTGAATGGCACTGTTACATAGAGCGCGTCGATACGAGTTCGTAGACACGTAGTGGGCTCAAATCGGAGTTTTAACGAAGAAGTTATGGCCAATGGAAGTGCAGTGCTTCTGACGACGATTCCGGAGTCATTTGGTAGTCTCCGACCACGAAACTTGTTCCAATTTTTCATCTCTCTCTCCTCTTTACATCTATTCCAATTTTCAACCTCAATTCCAAGGGATTAAGCCAAAAATTGGAATGAAAACCCAGCTCAAACCGGCTTGTAAAAAATCGTGACTTTCAGCATTTGTTCTGGCCAACTCCAGCCACCAAGTAGGTTCCAAAACACTCCCATGCCTCCCCTATGTAATTTCCCTCGAAGACCTGACTTGATTTCAAAACCATCAGAAAACCATGCATCTCTTGGATTGCACCTCTTAATCAAAAGGTATCACTTCAATGAGGACACATCTCTTCGTGTAAGAGTGTGTCTCTATGTTTAAATCATGTATATGAATTGTTTCTAACGTTCATATATGTAATTCAAACACTTAGTCATCAAGCACCACATCTAAGCACTCAAAAGGTGCTTTGAAACTGCACCCTAACAAAATCATGTGACAAGTCCCAATTTGGTAGTATGTTTCGCGAGAGCCACTTCAGGCTTCGAAGCCTCTTCCTAAAACCAACTGGTTGTTTCCTTAAAGCGACCGGTCACTTTTTTCCAGATTCTTATTTTTCTTAAAATCTTCAACATGGCCAATGTCTCAGATAGGGGGACTTTTCGAACTCGTGAGTGCCCAAAAGTTTTCGAACTCGAAGTTACCGAACGGTACTCTTCATGCTGAAGGAGAGGGGCGAATATCAAGACCATTATCTTGTATTTTGACTCTTAGATGAGAAAATGAGAGCTATCAAAGAGCAAGAGAGAAAACTTAGGGAAGAAGAAGAGCTAGCTAGATACTAACTCAGCTCCAAACAATTCATACGTATATTGCCTTCTGACAAAACCGTTAGGAATAGCATATTCCTCTTACATCATTCAAATCTTAGCCATTCATTCACTACCCTATGAGATAGAGACACGTGGCATACACTATTACATCCTAGCTACACAGTTGGACTGTTATCCAACGGCTACATTTTCAAACTTAGAATAATAAATCTATCTTAGCAGCTGCACTTATAAACTAACACTCCCTTCTAAGTGTTGTGCTGAGATAACACCTAAAGCCTTTCTTAGATACTCATACCGATCCCTTGCTAGTGGCTTGGTGAATATATTAGCAACCTGTTCTTCAGTTTTGCAATAAAGCAAATTGATCTCACCATTCTGAAGAGCATCTCGAATGAAGTGAAACCTGCGATTGATGTGTCTGGTTTTGTGGTGATGAACCGGATTCTTTGATATAGCAATAGCCGAAGTGTTGTCACACAACAACTGAGTTGGTTCTACCTGTTCTTCACCAAAATTCAATAGCACAAATTTGAGCCAAATAGCTTGAGTAGTTGCTTCTGCTGCGCTCATGTATTCTGCCTCTGCAGTGGAGAGAGCCACATTGCTCTGCTTAATTGAGGCCCAAGAAAACACTCCTGACCCCAAGTTAAATGCATAGCCTGATGTGCTTTGCATATCATCTTCACTACCACTCCAATCGCTGTCACAATAGCCAATTAACATAGCTCCTTTTCCTTTCTCATAAGCAATGCCATAGCTTATAGTACCTTGTATATATCTTAGCACCCTTTTTGCTGTTCCCATGTGCTTCTTGGTAGGATTGTGCATGAATCTGGCCAAAAGACTAGCTGCAAACATAATGTCCGGTCTTGTTGCAGTTAGATAGAGCAAGCTTCCTACCATTTGTCTATACAAAGTCTCATATGCTAAATCACTCCCATCCATTTTAGACAACTTTTCATTCACTGCCAATGGTGTTGCAACTGATTTGCAGTCCTTGAGTCCAAACTTGTCCAGCAAAGTCTTTGCATATTTCTTCTGATGCAAGAAAATGCAAGTGTCAGTTTGTAAAACCCCAAGGCCGAGAAAGTGATGAAGCAATCCAAGATCCGTCATCTCATATTGTCTCATCATCTCATTCTTAAATTCAAGCATCATCTCCTTTGAGCTCCCTGTATAGATAATATCATCTACATAGAATGACACAATAAGAATACCACTTGCAGACCTCTTAGTGTATAAAGTAGCTTCACTCAAGCTCCTATGAAAACCAGCTCTAGTAAAATAGGAATTTATCTCTTTGTACCAAGCTCTTGGAGCTTGCTTCAAACCATACAAAGCCTTCTTAAGCCTATACACCTTATCTTCACTTCCTTGTATCACAAAGCCGGATGGTTGATCCACATACACCTCTTCATTTAGTACTCCATTGAGAAAAGTGGATTTCACATCTAATTGGAAAAGCTTCCAATTCTTCTGTTCAGCCAATGCTACCAAAGCTCTCACAGTGTTAAGCCGAGCCACTGGTGCAAAGGTCTCATTGAAGTCTATTCCAGGCTTCTGAGAGTAACCCTTTGCAACCTGTTCACCCGTTTTGCGTTTACTCCTATGATGGAAGGGCAAAGTTCCCCACTGCCTTGAGAACCATAAACTGGTCAGCAAGTCAGCTTTCTTTGGTGTGCGAGCGTGCCACTGCTAGTAAAAAAAATTCTAGCAGACTTAGTTTGGAATGGATAACTTGCGTCCCAAGTTACTGATTTCTGCAAACAAGCGATTGTGAATTTGGGTGAGGAATATCTCCCAAGTAAGTTCTTTTCCTGCCTCAGACTGGTGAGGACTTTAACAATTTATCTCAGTATAAAGAGGTTGTCCTGGTCAGAATGGTTGATGGGATTTAAACTGTTTTTTGCCTTTTACAAAAATATAACAATGAATGCTTATGCTAGAGAGAGATGAAGAGACAGCTGGGACTTCGTTTCTGTCGAGATGGAAGGTTCTGATCTGGGCTGGACTGGACTGGACTGGAAATGCCTGGGCTGGACTGGACCGTTGACAACTTTGACTGCTAGGCTTCAACTGTAAATCGATACCAAAGGTTGATTCTGGCAGAGCTTCAATGTACCTCATGCTTTTGTGAAGCTTTTGAGTGGGCAGAACTGCAGTCTTCTCAGTCTGCACAGGCAGGAGTGACTGTTTTTTGAGGGCTTCAATGGGCTAGAGACCGCACTGTGAATTTTGTTGAGGTTTTCCATATTTGGAGGAAGCTCAAGCTCTACCTGTCTTGGTTATTGCTGAACCAAATTTGTAACGAGAGAAATCTCGTTTTGAATGACTTGCTTCTTAAGTCTGGACCTTGGGAATCTGATCTGAATCTGGTTTCACTTGAAATTCAAGTGGGCTTGTTGGTTGATTTTGAGGTGTCTATTTGACGGTTTCCTTGTGTAAGATCTTTGTTTGATTGGATGATGAATTTTTTGTGTGTTTTACCCTGTTCACTCCTCCTTGTATTTATAGTAAAAAATAATAATGGGCGGCAAATCTTTTCAAAAGATATCTCTCCCCTTTTTTTTCTCTTTTTAAATGGAAAGAAAGAAAGTAGGATTTTATTAGTTTGGCAGATAGGCTTTCAAAATAGGCAATCACTTCCCTGTTTTTCTTGAAAAAGAACCTAATCTCTTCTCTCAATTTCAACTGCCCCTTGTGAGATTTCATCCGTGATGGTTAGTTTGATTTCTTTTCTGGACAGCTCCCTTCTTTCCTGCTTATCTCTCTCTGAGTTTGTAGCTTGCTTATCTCATTGGGAGAATTACCCTCTCTGTAGAATAGAAGAAAAATCTCTGAATATATATATATATATAAGAGGGATTTTGATCTTCAGATTTTTTCAGGGTCTTTTCAGAATAGCTTGATGACATAAACTTTTCAATCACTTCTTTCATGACAGTTGCCATTGTTGACTTTTCTTTATCCCAGAGATGTCACGTGGGATTTGTTTCCTGTCTCTGGGCTTCCCCCTTTTTATCACAACGGGCCTGTGAGGCCCAGGCTTTGGGCTGGGCTTTTCTAGATTTTGGGCTTCTAATTTCCTGTTTCTCAAAGACCAAATTTGCTTTGATTTTTTGCAGCCTTACTCTTTGCCTCATTTTCGCTGGGCTGGGTGTGTCAATTTTTAGGCCCAAACACAACCAGTCGAGCCTTATTCTTCTGCACAGATTCATCTAGGTTTAGTTTTGTTTTATAGACCCATTTGACTCCAATGATTGGTTTATCAAATGGTCTATCCACAAGTTCCCATGTATTGTTCTTTTCAATCATAGTGATTTCATCTTCCATTGCTTTCTTCCAAGAGTCATCCTTTGCTGCCTCTTCAAAACTTTCTAGTTCTATAATGCACATATTGCATTTTTCATAAATTTCTGCAATGCTCTTGTATTTGAGAGGAGTATGATCAACATCCTGCGGACTTGTGACCCTTTCTTGATCACTGTTTTCAGTGTTTAAGCTAGGCACTTCATTCACTTCTAATTGTTCTTCAAATTCACAAGAACTCCCTTCTTCTCCTTGTTCTTCTTCTCGGATTCCAGTGAGCTGAATGTTCACACCAGTTTCCTTATTTGCATTCCTATCCCAACATACGTTCTCACTAAATATGACATCTCTTGACACAATCATCTTCCCAGTTTCAATATTATACAGCCTGTATCCTTTCTCACAGCTGCCATACCCCAGGAAGATACACCTCTTGCTTGCAAGATCTAATTTCTGTCTTTGCTGTTTTGGTACATGAGCATAACACAATGAGCCAAATGCCTTTAGATGCTTAACCCCTGGTTTCCTTCCACTATAGGCTTCGAATGGTGTCTTTTTGCTCAAGGCTTTAGTTGGACACCTATTCAAAATATACATAGATATGTTGACTGCCTCAGCCCAAAAATCAAATGGAATTTTCTTCTCCAACATCAAACACTTGGCCATTTCTACTATAGTTCTATTTTTCCTCTCCGCCACACCATTTTGCTGTGGTGTGTATGGGGTTGTAAGCTGTCTTTCAATTCCTACATCTTCACAGAAACTGTCAAACTCCACTAAAGTGTATTCTCCCCCTCTATCACTTCTCAACTTTTTCAGTTTATAACCACTTTGCAATTCCACAGTGGCTTTGAATTTCTTAAACACAGTTAGAGCTTCAGACTTGTGTCTTAAGAAATAGACCCAACACATCCTTGTGCAATCGTCTATGAAAGTGAGAAAGAACCGATTTCCAGCTTTGGTAACTGTCTGCATAGGACCACAGATGTCACTGTGAATGAGTTCTAGTGGAGTTAGTGCTCTAGTGGTAGCCTCTCTTGGAAATGCTTCTCTACACTGCTTGCCTAGAACACACCCTTCACACACCTCTTTAATCCCTTTAATTTCTGGTAGTCCAACTACCATATCTTGTTCTTTCAACAATTTCAGACTACTCATGTTTAGATGTCCAAACCTTCTATGCCAAAGTTCAGTAGAATGATCTACACTTGCTTTATAAGCTAAGTGTATTTCAGCCTGCAGTTTCATGGGAAAGCTTCTATTACCTCTCATTTGTACCTTTGCAACAAGATTTGAGAGAGAGCTGTCATTGTAGATTTCCACCTTGTGGTTTCCAAATACCAAATAGTAGCCGTGCTCTATCATTTGACCCACGCTGAGCAAGTTCTCTTTCAGTCCAGGTACCAGCATTATTTCTTTGATATATCTCTTGCCTACTTTGGTTTCAACCACAAGTGTGCCTTTGCCAGTCACATTTCTGTCAATATCCACCAGCAGATCCTCTTTTCCTGTCATGTGATTACTACACCCACTGTCCAAATACCAAACTTCTTCATCCCTTGTTATACCAGCACCAATTGCATTGCTAGCATTGAACATAGTTGGTGCAGCTTCCACTTGAGTAGCATAGTTAACCTGCTGTGTTGTTTTCTTGCTATAGCAATCTTTTGCAATGTGGCCGAGCTTATCACAGTTATAACACTTTGGTTTGCCCTTGAATCGACACTCACCAAAGTGTAACTTACCACAGTGCTTGCAGGGAGTTTTAGTGCCTTCACTTGTCTTGTTATCCCACTTCTTGCCTTTTGATTTCCAATTCTTATGCTACCTATTGTTATGATCTCCAGTTTTAGCCGATTTAGCATCTACACTAAGGGTAGCAAATGCCTTCTCTGTTCTGTTTTTAGAATGTCTATCTAACCTCAACTCAAAACTCTTTAGTGAGGCTACTACCTCCTGCACCTCAATTTCATTTAGATCTCTCGAGTGTTCAATAACTGAGCAGATAGAGTCATAGGCAGATGGCAAGCTAATTAATAATTTTTGTACTACTCTTTCTTTAGACAATACCTCTCCATAGCTACGCATTTGGTTAATCACATCAAACAATTTTGTAATGTAGGCAGACAAAGATTCATCATCTCTCATTCTAGTATACTCAAACTCCCTACGCAGACTCTGTAATTTGACATTTCTTACCTGTTTGTCACCTCGAAATTCCTGCATCAAGAGATCCCAAGCTCCTTTAGAAGTTTCTTCATGAGAAATCCGGGGAAAAATCTCATCAGATACTGACCCTTGAATCAGCCTCAATGCCTTTACATCTTTCATCAGCTTCTCTGTTTCAGAACCACTTGAAACATCCCTTTCATCTTCTGCTCACCAGATTCACCAGCTCCCTTTGATTCTTCTTTTCAACAGAATCATCAGCTCCTTTCGAATCTGACCACTCTAATCCTTTTTCAACCAGATCCCATAATCCATGAGACCTGAAGATGGTTCTCATCTTTATGCTCTAAAACTCATAATTATCGCCATTGAAGATTGGCGCTCTCACCTCCCCTCCAGATCCAGATCCAGCCATGTTGGACGCAGACCTTCACACACTAGCTTAAAGGAAAACACAGCATCTTTACAGAATCGAACGCCTAGTGCAAACGATCGAACCTGGCTCTGAGGCCATGTTAGAATATCAAGACCATTATCTTGTATTTTGACTATTAGATGAGAAAATGAGAGCTATCAGAGAGCAAGAAGAAGAGCTAGCTAGATACTAACTCAGCTCCAAACAATTCATACGTATATTGCCTTCTGACAAAACTGTTAGGAATAGCATATTCCTCTTACATCATTCAAATCTTACCCATTCATTCACTACCCTATGAGATAGAGACACGTGGCATACACTATTACATCCTAGCTACACAGTTGGACTGTTATCCAACGGCTACATTTTCAAACTTAGAATAATAAATCTATCTCAGCTGTTGCACTTATAAACTAACAGTATGTACCTCTGGTAGGTGTTATTTGGAGCTGGGAGTTGCTGATCTGAAGCTTCGAAAGAAGGCAAAGTGTGGCTGCTGCCGAACACGGTCAACCAGCCGTGGTGCGAAGCATGTGGTGTTTATGCCTAATAAATCACGGTCATGAGCTGATTGAAGGTACTTCCCTTTGGCCCTGGCACCTACCGTTTCGTCAAGCATTTCGCCTACCTAAGAACAAAAGAAAAGCTGCAAAGGCAGAATCCTCTCGGCCTTGCGACCGCAGTATTGAAGGCCGAGACTGAAGGCCGTAAAAGACAAGGCCTAAAAAAGCTGTGGTTGAGTCGCCACGTGGCCTCAGGGCCCCATGCTCCATTTAATGAAGTAATGCCTCTGACTGCATAGCAAACCCACTAGTCACAAGAAGCATTTAATGCACAAGGGAAGTGACTAAAGTCAGGATTTGGTGATGGAAATCAGGGTGGTTAAGCGCAGACATTCTCACAAGTAATCTTACGACTTAAGGTCAGATCACCAACCACCAGATCAGGCCATTAAATGCGTTCCCACGGCCAAGGGGGCAGAACCCACGATCAGGGCGGTGGCCGAGATTTACCGAGATTTATGGGGGTCACACCACCATGCTTCTCAAACCCCAAACCACCATGCTTCAAGATCCCAAATGCCGATTTGACTACCCACTTGCCCTGGTCAGGCTCCACCACGCAGGTCTTGTCAGCCTCGAATGTCCCTCCAGAAGGACGTCACGTGTTGACGCACATCCCCTCGCCCTGGAGCACCAGGGCGTGAGATTCACGACGGACCAACATGTGGAGTTCTCTACGGCTGCCGTTCGGTATCCTTGGGTGCCTTGAGAAATTTCCCAACTGTATGATAGATTCGTGAGAGTGGTATCTGGCTTCAAGCATGAGATAATTCTTCAATTTTGGGGCTGCCAAATGGTACTGGGTAGTATTTTGGAGGTGGATATGGCTTCTGAAAGCCATTGGCTGAAGCTAGATTATTAGGGATGAGCTCAAAGCATTGGGTGCCAATCTGGTCCTTGTATTTTGTATTCAAATAAAATAGTTTATGGTGGCTTCAGTATGGATATTCTATTGAATTGTTGAATAGCAATTGACAGGTGTTGAACAATACCTAAGCCACAAACTCATGGAAATGGACAATGTGGGTTGCCCAACGTCATCTACCACACATGGTCTATTCTAATATTCGATACTAATATTTTAATGAAACTTGACATGCAACATTCCAAATAAAATATATTCAAAAGAGATGTGGTATGGTTCACTTATCTCTTTGAAGTTTCGTGGGCTTTTTGAGCTGGGTCCTAGCAAGCAGAAATTTGCAGACCCAGAAATTTGCGAACCCCTGGGCTGGTTGGGCTGGTGTGAAGCCTGAGCGGTGAAGGCAGATTTGAAATCCTTGGGATTGGTCTTTTTTGTGTGTGAATTGAAGCTGGACTTCGAATTTGGAGTTGTGCTCATGGCTTGGAGCTGGGATCCTTGGCCTTGAGTATGGGGTTTGGCACGAGCCTGGGCATAAGTCCCCCATTCTTGGGGTTCTTGGAGTTCGGCGTACTTAGGCAATTTTTTAGAGAAGTTAGTGAGTCCCCCATTTTGCTTTTTCACGAGACCTTCCTTGTAGAATATATGGTGATTTTCTTCTAGCCTCTAAGGCTTTTTGAGTCTTGAGAAGCCTGGAGTCGAGCCTGTTTTGGAGCTGGGCTTCACGAGTTAGCAAGTTGGTGTTGTAGCTCGAGTGGTCTTGGAGCTGGACCTCGGGTTAGAAGGACTTGGAGCCATGATTTTGTTGAGCCTTGTGCGCACGGGCTGGGCTTTTCCGTGTTGGTAGTGGTGAAGCTGCTGGGCCTTGGGCGCGGGCAATTGACTTTGGAAAAAAGGTTGTGGGATTTTCAGCCTTTGTGCGTTGCCGACGGCACAAAGTTGCATGTCGCAGTGTGAAGTGGTTGGGCACGAGGGTGCCGAAGGCGACACAAGATGTGGCTAGGCACGGGGGTGCCGAAGGCGACACAAAGCTTGCATGTTTGCAAGGTGATGTGCTTAGGCATGAAGGTGTCGAAGGCAACACAAAGCTCGCATGTCGCAAGGCAATGTGGCTGGGCACGAAGGTGTCGAAGGCAACACAAAGCTTGCGTGTCGCAGAGCGATGTGGCTAGGCACGAAGGTGCCGAAGGCAACACAAAGCTTGCGTGTCGCAGAGCGATGTGGCTAGGCACGGAGGTGCCGAAGGGAACACAAAGCTTGCGTGTCGCAAGGCAATGTGATTGGGCACGAGGGTGTCGAAGGCAACACAAAGCTTGCGTGTTGCAAGGCATTGTGGCTAGGCACGTGGGTGCTAAAGGCATCTCTCGCGCCGGTTGATGGCTGGGTGCCGAATGATGGCGAGGTGCTGAAGGAATCGCTCGCGCCGATTGATGGCTAGGTGCTGAAGGCATCGCTCACACCAAATGATGGCTAGTTGTTGAAGGCATTACTCGCCCCAAATGATGACGGGGTGCCGAAGGCATCGCTTGGGCCGGTTGATGGCTGGGTGCCGAAAGCATCGCACAAGCTATATGATGAAGATTGTATGGGTGCCGAAGGGCACTGAGGAAGGGGAGAACGACATAAGCCTTTCATATCAATTCCCATAGACGGCGCCAAACTGTTGATGCTCTTTTTGGGAGGTCAACTTAGAGAGTAGGTGATAGTGAATGATGGGTGAAGGTGAGGACCTTCAGCATGTGTGTGAAGACTTGGGCAATCGATAAATGTAAAGAAGACAAGATATACGTGGTTCACCCTTAATGAATGGGCTACGTCCACGGAGAAGTATGTTCTCATTATAATAATGTATGATTACATTTGTACATGAGGTTAGACCTGAATATAAAGACAACAAGTGAGGTGCCCAGGCCAGGGGTCTAGAAGAGAGTCCCCAGCCCTAGGGTCTAGCTCTGAGACTCGGATCCTCCTTTAAGTGGAGAGAAGATGTCCCCTTTTCACATGGATACTATTCCCTATTTATAAGGAGGTGAAAGTGAGAGGTTTGTGTAGATTTCCGATGTGGGACTTTGCGCAAGTTGCCGTGGTGGTGACATGTGTCATGGCGTTGATGCTCTTGGTGCTAGTTGCTTTGAGGCTGAATATGCTCGGTTGATTATGGTGTAAACAAGCGTCACACATGATTTCAAAAGGAACACTCCAATCTGGAGGACAAATGATGGGTGCAGAAGTCAAAAGTGCCTTGAGTTTTTCAAGAGCATAGTTGCAATCATCATTGAAGACAAAAGCAGAATCTTTGGCAAGCAAGCTACACAAAGGACGAGAGATTTTGCTAAAATCTTTGATGAACCTACGGTAAAATCCAGCATGGCCTAGGAATGATCTAATTCCTCTCACAGTTCATGGAGGTGGAAGATTTAAAATCAAATCTACTTTGGCTTTGTCAACTTCTATACCATCAGAAGAAATTACATGTCCTAGCACTATCCCTTTTTTCACCATGAAGTGACATTTCTCCCAGTTAAGCACAAGATTCTTCTCTTTACAACGAAAGGTGGTGCAAACATTCATCAAACGATGATCCATATACTGAAAAATCGTCCATGAAAACCTCTAAGAATCGTTCTACCATATTAGAGAATATAGAGACCATACACCGCTGAAATGTAGCAGGTGTATTGCACAACCCAAAGGGCATGCGTCGGTAGGCAAATGTTCCAAAAGGACATGTGAATGTGGTTTTTTCTTGATCCTCAGGTGCAATAGGAATTTGGTTATAACTAGAATAACCATCCAAGAAACAGTAATATGCATGACCAGCTAACCTCTCCAACATCTGGTCAATGAAAGGTAGAGGAAAATGATCTTTCCTCGTGACAGAATTCAACTTTTGACAGTCGATGCATACACGCCATCCAGTTCGGACTCGTGTAGGAATGAGCTCATTTTTCTCATTTTTGACAACTGTGATGCCATACTTTTTTGGCACTACTTGCACAGGACTCACCCATTTACTGTCAGACATTGGGTATATCACCCCAACATCTAAAAGCTTTAATATTTCATCTCTAACAACATCCTTCATGGAAGGATTTAACCACCTTTGTGGTTCTTGGGAATTCTTGGCATTGTCCTCCATATGAATCCTATGCATGACAATAGAAGGAGCAATACCCTTAATGTCAGCTATAGACCACCCTATGGCTTCCTTATGTTCTTTAAGCATTTTGACAAATTTACCTTCCTGTTTGTTATTAAGGTCCGAAGCTATGATTACAGGCAAGGTTTTAGAAGACTCTAGGAACACATATTTGAGAGTATCAGGTAATGGCTTTAAGTGCAGCTTAGGGGGCTCTATCATGGAAGGAAGTGGAGGTGACGTGGAAAGAGGAAGAGGTTCAACCTTAAGTTTCCAAGTGGGCGTTTCAATATAGGGAACATAATCTAACAATGCATTGACTTCATCAAAAGATTTTCCGAAGTCAAAGTTAGCCCCAAAGTGAGCTAAGCATGCCTCTAATGGGTCCTTAATGCTAGAGTAATGAAAAGAATCTTCCACCATAGTATCAATCAAGCTGATCTCACAAATCTCTTCATCATCTGATGGTTGCTTGCTTATGTTGAAAATATTAAACTCAACAGTCATGTTGCCAAATGAGATATTCATTAGTCCATTCCTACAATTAATATTTGCATTGCATGTGGCAAGGAATGGATGGCCTAAGATGACTGGAATTTGTTTTTGACCTGAAGGTACAGGTTGTGTATCAAGGACAATGAAATCTACAGGAAAGTAGAATTTATCAACCTTGATCAAAACATCTTCAACAATGCCTCTTGGGATTTTCACAGATCTGTTAGCTAAAGAGAGAGATACCTGATCGAGTTGGTTTGATCTCTCCTAAGCCTAATTGCATATACATTGAGTATGGCAATAAATTCACACTTGCCCCTAAGTCTAACAAAGCCGTTTCAATATGGTGATCACCTATATCATGCAAGCGATGGTAGGACAACCGGGGTCCTTGTACTTGATAGGAATCCTATTCTCTATGATGGAACTGATATTCTCAGTTAGAATTTTGAGATTGACGACCAAACATAAAATAAACAAGAAAAAACAAAAATAACCACACAAATAAATAAGTAAAAATTATAGTTTTTTATTTTTTTTAGCTCTAAACAAATCCTTCTCTTAAGAGCAAACTTAAGGATGACCAGTTAAAGGCTTCCAAAAATCACAGTCAGGTCTTTTCTGGGAAGGGTGGAGGGGTCACAATGGTCCCACTTAAAACCCAGTCCTTCTTAAACACCGAAGGTGCTTCCTTAAAGAACTTTCCTAGACACTGTAATGTTTTGAAGTTTTTCACTGGAGTTACCACAAGTCAACATCTTTCAAGAAGGGCCTATAAGTTTTAAATTTACTAATTACTTATATGCCAGAAAAACAATATAAATAAAAATAAAAGAAAAAGAAAATTCAAGCAAGAATTTAAAAGAAGAGTTAGAATTTTCTTACCAGGTGTCCAGGACGCACCTTTAATTTCATTCTTCTAATAAAATCTTTTGATACCTGTAAAAACAAGCACACCAATTAGTTCAAGCAATAGAAACAAGCACACAATTTGACATAAAGAAAAGAAATTAACTTTCTTAAAATAAAATAAAATATGAAACTTCTTCCAAGTCACAGGGTTTCACCAAAAGAAACAGATGATACAATTGAAACAAAGAAACGAAAAAAAAATTAATACACAATGATATTACAATAGAAAACAAGAGAATTGACAAAATCTGATTTTTATTTTTTAATTTTTAAAATTTCGTTTTTTTAAAAAAAATATTTTTTTTAAAGTTTATATATATTACAAAACTAAATTATAACTAGTGGAAGAATTTAATTAACCAAAATTTGATTAGTTTTCCGTTACAATCCCCGGCAACGGCGCCAAAACTTGTTGTCACCATAAGAGGTGTTTTTAAAATTTATAAGCTCGCAAGCGCACGAATCGAATATAGCATAAGCGTGTAAGAGCGAGGTCGTACCCAAGGGATTGCGTGAAAAGAGAGAAAACCAATTAAACCCAAGTTAATTTCATTGCCAACCCAGTTGATTCAAATGGTGATTTGTTTGTTTGCTAAATAAAGTTAAATAAAGCATAAAACAAATATGGAAATGACAATAAACTGAAATTAAGATTAAATTTATGAGAAAAAATAACTAAGGTATTAGAATCCACACCATTATTTCATAAGATCCTAATTATTTATCTTTCAATTCTCATGGAGTAGCAATCTAGAAATCAATCTACTGCTTTCTCAAGATTTGTTAATTAAGCTTGTAATTTAGATCGTAAGTAAATTTTTCCTCCCTTCATAAGTACAAATTCTAAGCATCATATGTAAACAAAATTATTTAACTACAAAGGATCAAAGTTTCCTAAGAATCCTATGTGAAAAAGTTTATTTGAATAACAAAAGATCAAAGAAATTTGTAAACTAGAAATATAAACCAAGGATGAATTAATAGATTAATCCTAAAGTCTTAACTACCACAAATACATGATAGAAGTGGTGAAAAGAAAATTAGTCTATTAATCATGCGAAGTGAAAATTATATATCATTGAACACCACAATATTTGAGAATTGAAAATAAAACTAGAACTTTATTTAATAATGGTGTTTCATCCAACCTTAGTTAAGTATTTTAGCTAGACATAATTAATATTTAAAACAAAATAAAGAAACCAAAATACATGAAATAAATGAGAACTATGAAAGGTGAAGAACAATTTTAAGAGAGTTATTAGCTCTCAGTTATTAGCTAAGAGAGTTATTAGCCCATCATTTTCAAATATCTTCCTTATTTTTGGCCTACTTCCTTGACTTTGGCTTACTTCCTTGACTTTGGTCTACTTCCTTGATTTTGGCCTACTTCCTTGACTTTAGTCTACTTCCTTGATTTTGGCTTCACTTTGTGTGTCTCTCCCTCATGTCTCCTAAGCTTCCTCCATTTATGGCTAGATAACAACTCAATCATCATTCTTCTTTGCATTCATTGTTTGCAAGTAGTCAATTTGAACTTCTCTTTCTTTGTTTATTCCTCCACAATTGCTATTGATGGAAGACACTTAATATCTACAAACAACCACTCATTAATTACAAAAACAAAGATTGGAAATAACCAATACAAATACTATAATAGATTTAAATAAAACAAAAGAAAATACTAACAAATATAAATTTAAGGATAAAACTTGTATGAATTATGTGCTCATCAAGAACCATTCACATAAACCCAATACTAATGTACCCAAGGTGATCCAATGCCAAAAATCCAATCTAAGATCAACAAAAACTCCAAGATGTTAGCAGGATTAATATCACTTATCAATCCCTGCACGTGCTGAACAAAGTACTTAGAATTTAATCCATTTTATGTTACAAAAACAGAGAAAAGAACAGCTGGAGTCTTTTGGCATGCATCATCAAGTGTCAAATTGAAGATTTTCCAAAGATTTTGCAACAAGACATTTAAGATCCAAATTTTCTAAAGCAACGGGTTCATGCACAACATTAGTGGAGACAAACATACAATTATGATTTTCCTTTTTCCTCTAAACGAACTTTGTCTTAGTTGACGGCAAACAATGAAAAGAAGATAGTTTGGATAAGTGGTTTACCTCTTCCATAAGATTTGAAATATTATGTTGGATACTTACTTATTGCATCTTGGTCTTATGTGCCAATGAGCTCCACAAAAGTGAGAAATTAGACTGAATCTCTTGACTTCAAGAGCAGCTGAAGGTTCAATAGGTGAAAAAGATTTGACAAACTTTTTTTTAGACACTTCGGAAGACTTATTACTTGTTTCAAATCCCAAGTATCGTTTGTCACCATCTCTTCTTCCCATGCTAATCATCTTGTCAATTTTTTCTGCACCAATGGTTAAAGAAACATCATTTCCTCTGAAATTTTAAGTTCAAGTTCAAGGGCTTGGTTGTTAGAAGTTAGAGATGCAATTAATTTATTCTGATCAGTCAATTTTTTCTGCAAAAACCATCAATTTTTCGTTCATACCTGCACTTACCATTTGGAATTTGCTTCAAGGGATTGAACCTTGTTTGCAATCCTGCTACTTTCCAACTTCAACTCAGCCACAGATTTGACGAGCTTGACATTTTATTTATTGAGTTTTTGTGAGGTAGCGAGCGAGTCATCCTACTTCTTCATGATAAAATCAAGTTTCATATCTTCACAATCATCATCCTCATGTGATTCATCCAAACTAACTATAGTTATGAGTGCAACCCTTTTCATCTTTCTCGGATTCCAATTCACTATCACTCCAAGTTGTATTCGATGCTTTGTTCTTCCCATCATTTTGCTTCTTCAAAGTGTTAGCACGTTCAGAAGATATGTGACCATGACATCCACATTCAAAGCATTCGACATTTCCTTTTGAATTTTTCGTGTCATTTAACCTGCAAGATTTTGAAACAACGTCAGTATTATAAATATTTCTAATTTTCTCACAATTCATACATGAGTTGTTTCGCGAGTCTTGCTCCTTAGAGTTTTGATTCTTATGAAAACTCTTGAAATGTCTCAACGTAGCACAATCCATCCTACTATATTCCGGATCTCGCTAAGTATGTCTAGCGACCAGCTCTGATGCCAATTGAAATTACCTATAGAATGACTAAAAATGCCTAGATTGAATAGGCCAATTTAAGATTATAATCAATAAACTTCGGTAGCAGGATTGATATGGCTTATCAATCCTGAAACGTGATGAACATAAAATAAAGAAACATGCAGAGAATTATTTTACATGGTAAAACCCCACCTCTGGGGAAAATCCACGGGACTTCTCAATCCAACACAAATCCACTATAGAAAGATGATTACAAGAAGTACTCACACACTTATCCTAGACACATTCTAAATCATGTTACTGACTTCTTCGTAATTCAACTTCTGTCAAGGGATGATCTTCGACACTCCTTATGTTGAACGCAATACTGGTCACGATTGCTTCAAGCTTGCCGAAGGAAAACCACCACCACGGTCTTGATGCCCTCAACCGTATGAGTCACCGACATGCATATGAATGCAGTATGAATGATGAAATGATTTGATAAATCACCAAGTAAGCAAGGAACACTTCATGACTTATCTGAAAAATATGCACATCAGCTTTCTCTTAAAAATTCAGTATACTCAAAAATCAATATGTCAAAAGCTATATGTTCTAAAAAGAGAGGCACACTTCTTTTATTCAAAACACATTCTCCCTAGTCGAATGGTGATCTAAGAATCCACAAACATTCTTTTCTTATGACTCTCTAGTTTAAACCAATATAGGCGCTTAAGTCAAAAGACGTCAACACATGACCACATATCCTATTCAACAATGACTTTCAAACAACTATGGCTACCAAAACCTGATGCAATATGGTATCTTGACCAAGACGCCAAAACAAAAGACACACTACTATTCAATAATGAATAATAACTTTGATTCAATATAAACTCCCAGTAAGGACGCCAAACATGTGACTACAAATAGTATTCAATCATGAATATCAGTTTTGATCTAATATGTACTTTAAATGATGACACCAAACAACCAATCTTTGAGGGAGAAATAATATCTCCCAAAACAAACTAATTAGACCAATCAAGTAGGAGATGAGCAACGTGCAAGTCATAATAGGAAAAGATAAAACTTAAATCAAAATAGAGTCCAACTAGTAAAGTAATCTCAAGAGATAAAATGTAATCCTATTAAAAATAGGACTAACATAAAAGTGCTTGAGTGAAAATAACTCAATTTGGGAATCCTATAATGAACGCATAATTATGTCATGATTTATCTGAAATTAGTTTCCTCATATCAATCAAGTCACACTTCGAAAATCCGGGATTGAATGTGTTGCGCCAAAACTTCCAGTAAAAGATATTCACATTCTAATTCCCGACCTATGCTAGAGTTTAGGAAATGACAATACAATTTTCATAATAACAAATAATTTTCAGCAACCCAAATCAACTCTACAGTCAATCAAAATGTGGTTAACAGGTGTGTATGTTTCCTACCGTGCAGCTAAGAGACAAAAAGTGATTGCGTGGTTTTGACAGTACAATTGATTCACAATGCGCAAAGTTGTGCTTTTCGTGGCTTTATATGTTTTACCAAAATCCTCCATTGCTGACAGTACATTAATTTACAATGTGCTAAGCTTTGGAGCTAAGCCTAATGGTATAACAGATTCCTCCCAAGCTTTTCCTGATTCATGTCGTGTTATCATGTATACTGAGAACGATGGTTCTTGTAGCACTCCCCAAAAAAAATTAATAATAAAAGGAATAGGGGAGGTTTTATCGCAACAACAAGGTCAAAATTCGCAGCAATGCCAACATAAAAAATTCTACCATGCGCCAGGTGCATGGATGTGCCAATAATATTCACCATTGGATAAGCAGCTAGTGGATGTGGGTTAATCCACACCTTTGGTTGTAGGTGACTTGTTTAACTGGTTGTTGTAGGTTAAAAATTAAAAAACAAATGGGTTTTTCGCAGCAATGGTCCCTCAACTATACCCGTTTTTGCATTTGGGTCACTGAACTCAATTATTAGTTGCAGAGGTCACTCAACTAGGTGTTTTGTTGCACTATTAGTCCCTCTGTCAAACTCTGTTAAATTTTCTGTCAAAAATGAAGGATGCTTGCAAGATACCTGCTAATTTTCTGACAAATTATTATAATGCCAAAATCCTAACAGTCCGCCCATGGAATCTGGGGATAAGGTAGATAGGTAGGGCTGTTCAACCTAGTTTTCTCAGAAGTCATCCTTCGACCAGTCTAATCTCTGCTACATAAAATCAGGTAATCTCTATGGCCCTATTTTTACATACATGCATGTCAAGTGAGCCATTTTTTTTAATCTTTCCTGCTATGCCTGGATTATTAGGGTTTTGTTTTATAAACATTCTTAATTGTCATCCCTAAATATATATATTTTTTTTTGGTCGAAGGAATGAAGATTTCAATACCTTTAGAAAGTTACAAACAAGTCCAATACAACAAACAGAACAATAAAACAAGCACAACCAGCCATAATACACATAATTTAGGCCCAACACAACAAAAAACCATAAGAAACACACAAACCCTAAAATCACACTCAAGAACTAAGCAGCCGCCGCTGCCACCCGGATCTGCCATCTCCACCAGTAAGTCCATGATAACCGACAAAGAAGATCTGAAGAGCATGGATTTGGGGAAGCAAGCCACCACCATGCATCAAGCTCAAACGATCCATGGATTGGTCTATATTGACCATTAAACTACAAAGCCCACTCTTCCAGAGCAAAAGCTCAAATCTGAGGATGGGTTGTAAGAAATGAACAGTAGCAACAAACCAGGAGACAACCATGCAAATCCTAGGGAAAAGGAAGGGGTTTAGGGTTAAAGAGTTCGTGGGAGGGGAAGAGAAATGCCTGCGGCCGGGAGGGGGGGGTTGTTGGGTGGATGAGAGGAGAAGAGGGAGAGATATGTGAAATTGCTGTAGAGGAGTGGGAGAGAAGAGATTGAGGAGATCTGGGACAACTGACAGGACCCGACCTAAATTCCACTTTGGAATCTGAGACGAACCCTGTCCGTGTTCGACACCTGGCAGGTGCCGGGCACACTTGACCAAATTTTCCTTCTAACTAAGTCTCAAAATTCTTTTTCAAGTTTGACTTCTACCGAATTTGGCAGAAGTCTTAACAGGACCTGACCCTAATTCCACTTTGGAATCCAAGCCAAACCTTGTGCGTGTCCGACACTTGGCGGGTGTCGGGCACAAATGACCTATTTGCCCGTCCAAACAAAATACAATTATCTCAAGTTTGACTTCTACTGAATGTAAATTGAACATTTCCTGAAATTTTCACCTGTCAACAAACATTTATAATTTCTCAAGCATCCAGCATATATCAATTTATATCCAAGAAATTAAGTGTCACAACATTCTAGCATCCGGCCTCAATGAAACGAATAAATCATTCTGCTAGCCACATTAAATTCAATCTCTTAAACCATTCCCAGAACAATGTTATATTTCATAATAACTTAGCTGGACTACCTTTAATTACTTGATCTCGTGGCTGCACCCAAAATTCTAGGTTGCCTACGTACCTTTAATAAGGGATCCTGCTTTGTAATCCTCGCTCCTCACGGTCTAGATATCTCTAAGACTCGTGGGGCAAAATATACTAGTAAAACTTGGGCTATTTAATACTATATAAAATAATAAAAGATAAAGATAACTAAACATAATAAAATAAAATAAAATAAGTTAAAGATTAACAAGCTTTGAAGACCCTTGTATCCTTGTATCGAAACTCACGTAAGGTTTATAAATAAATATCTATATATATATTTCCATTTATCACTTGTAAAACAATTATAACGCTTAAGAAAATAATGGTAGCCATATAAATCCTCAATTTAGTTAAAAAGCATCTCAAAACTTAAGTTCTCTCCACCTAGGCGTACCCCCACTCCTAATCTGTCAATTCCATTAATACCGTCATTCCATATATCTGTCAATTCCATCTATCCGTCAATTCCATCCTCGCAGGTCTCGAAAACAGTTAACCGAGCCGCATTGCTCGCAGGTCTCAGAGACAACACTTCAATCTGAGCCGCAATCCTCGCAGATCCCGAAGACACCAAGTCCATCCGAGCCGCATTCCTCGCAGGTCTCAGAGATAACACTTCAATCTGAGCCGCAATCCTCGCACCACACGATTCAGGCGTCCCCGAAACTCATGGGGAATTATCATAAATAACAAACTGTCCAAGGCAACTGGGGGGTACTCCTAAGGTGGGTTTAAAACCCATATTCTGAAACTTATCTCAAAGTTCCTCTTGTTTCATAAACCTTGCTTATATTCTCTTCTCAATTTTCCAAAAAATCAATGCTCAATATTGCATAATCTTCAATCATCGAAAATATCCTTTAGGTTTACCATCCCATACAATAATAATACACCTCCAAATACACAATAACATAAACATACATAATTTAGCAATCCATATGTATACACTCATATATTCTCACTCCATAGTCATATAGTTTCATAATAAGTGATATGGTAATCTAATCCATGAAATTAATGCCATCACTAACCAATGAACAATTCCTACCCAAGGTCCAGGACATCGATTAGAGTCACTTTTGTTCTTGGACCAAGGCCAAAAACTAACCGGAACTAGCTGGAACGAAGCTGAAACCGTCGAAATAATATGGGTATATGGAACAATCTGTAAAACTTCAAAATCGATCTTTAATACCTACATAAATGGATAGAGCACGAAAATTAGATGAAGATTCATACCTGGCTCGACGGATTTCGTGGCCGGAGTCGCCGGAAAATGCAAAAATATCACCGGAAAAGCCTAATCATTCCTTAACTTCAATTCGAGCTCATAAATAGCCAATCAGATCGGATCTTAGGTGGGTTCTATAGAGGAGGATGAGATGAATACTTTTCATGAAGGTGGCGTGGCCATCCGGTGAACGACGATGTCGGTTTTGGGGCTTGGAAGTCGAACAGTCACTGTTGCTACAGTGACTGTCGAAAAACAAAGAAGGAAAAATAGCTGAAGCTGCTAGGGGAGGAAGAAGGAGAGAAAAATAAAAGGGAGTTTCACTAAAACACCCAAAATGGGGGTTGAAATTATAAAAAAACCCAAGCACTATTTAAACATATAAACACAGTCAAAATCCATCATTACACACACTCAAAACCCATTTATAAACACACCCAAAAAGTTGACTTTGGGGTTGATTTTGGATGCGTTTCTATGTTTAAATAGTGCTTGGGTTTTTTTTATAAATACATGTCTAGGATTGGGTTTATTTATAAATTTGTAAAAATAAAAAGAGTTCAGGTACTGTAGCGGTACTGTAGCAATAAAAAATTTTAAAATTCCCTTTACGCCCTTTTTGTTTCTAGACCTTTCCTCCTTTATTACAACTCGGAATTGGACGTGCCGCGTGTCTACAAACTCGTATCAACGAGCTCTACGTAGCGGTCCAATTGAAATTTCCAAATTCCTTCCCAACCAAAAAGTCAACTTTTAAACCATTATAATATTTCAGGGGCAAAATGGTCTTTTACCTGAATAAATTAATAATTAACATTAATTTAGGATAAGGTTGTTACAAGTCTCCCCTGAAAAATGCTCATTTCCCAAAAATTTCACTTATACAAAACTCAATTCAAATATCCACAAATGTTTAGCATGCACAAAGTTCTACACGCAATCTAACAACCAATCTTGGTGGCCTCAGGCCTTACAGAAAACCTTGGGCAATTTCAGAGGAATACTAATTGATTTAATTTACAGGAATAGTTCGAATATAGTAGAAATCCTACACAGAGGGAAATGATGAATGGTGGTGATAATCGCCCGGTGATGGTGCTTTTGTTCATGACTACTGCCTAGGGGTGCAAAACATTAAAAATGTGAGTGGACAAAAGAAAGTTTTGGAAAATATAATATCAACATACTGACCCCATTGTTAAAACATTTTGAAATTCAATTATATCCATATTCTATATTCGTACAAAAAACAAGCATGCGTATCTATATACATATAACTAATCATGCTTTCAAACAAATCATCAAAACCATCTGTAAGCATTGCAAAGAAATAATTCCTTTCCACCTAGGTGTACCCATCATATATCCGTCAATTCCATGATTTTATATTTATTTCCCACATCATACCATCAATTCCAAGTGTCACCTAAGCGACACATCCTCACAGGCCTCGGAAACACAAAGTCAACCCGAGCCGCATTCATCGCAAGACTTAGGGGACATTTAGTCAACCTGAGCTGCATTCGTCGCTCCTCACGGTCCAGATATCCCTAAGACTCGTGGGTCAACTGTCAAACTTGCGCTGATTCAACTGAAGGCAACTAGGATGTCCGTGAACATCATTATAACTAATGGCAACAAGTTATCTGAATGCAACATTTTATCCGAAGGTAACCTTTGGGTACCTATGGTGGTTTAAAAAACTCTTTTGGAAAATTATACTACTATTTCTCATTAAATCCTAAATCCTGTTATTATTTTCTTTTCTACTTTCCAAGCCATTCTCATTTAATCATAAACAAAATTTTATAAAAGTATTTGAATTCAAACTTTATACTTGAAAAGTGAAAGCCATACATAATTCCTTAACTTAACTCAATCATGAAAAATCCTTCAAAATCGTTCTCAAACTAGATTCGAATATGCATAAAATGCTATTTAGAAAACTGGAAATCATAAGTTATCAATTCCATAAGCAAAACAATTAATAACCATAGTTCAAGAATTTCTTAAAACTATTTAGAAAACAAATGTCCACTCACTATGCGTCCGAGCTAGCCTGACCCTTTGAGGGTCCTTCCTGCGGGTTTAATGAAGCCCGAGTATCTATTTACGCAATTAAAATATTTAATTAATAAAATAACTCAACTACAATATTTAATCAAAACCCTGACCCCCGGCCTCAAAAGTGCGTGTAGTAACTTAAGAAGTTCCTAGGCCCATTATCAACAGTTCTGATAGGTGAAATGGTCTGAAAAGACACGAGGTTAAATATGCGATTAAATTCCCATATTGGTCATTCATGTCCCCCGCGGGGGTCCACGACCTCCGATTGATAATCCGAGAGTTCCCAAAGGTTCAACTCAATTTACTAAACATGCCCTACAAGTTTGGTTTGTTGGATTGCTCGCGATAGCATGATCAGACGATTACCGTTTACCTAAACTTTGAAGTATTGAATCAGAGAATCCAAGGCTCCGATTTTCGATCCGCAAATTTCTACATGATCTTAGAGGTGCCTAGATCAACATATTTGAAAATGAAGTCAATACAACGGTCCGAATATATCGAACTCGAATAATGCCTAATATGCGATATCTGATCGACAGTCAAACGATAACCAAATTAAAATCCGAGCGTACTGTCGTGCTCGGGAAGACGTGGGGATCATTTTAGGACCAAACCCAAACTATCAGCGGGTGTATAGAGAAATTTTTAGGCGATCGGAAAACTCCAAACCACCGGGCAATATTCATACCTACAGATCAAGCACATCAAGGGGAGTAACTTTATACCTTTGCTCGAAGATCAATTCCACCGTTAAAGCCCTCGTACGAACGATTTCCTCTTTCGAAAAACCTAGAAAGTTCTTGGTTTGGATTCATCAATTCTACTTGGAATTGGGTCAGGTCTTTGAGGGAAATCACATAGGGGAGGTAGGTGAGTGGTTTGGGTGTGATAACACAGCCGGTGGTGGTCGGAGTTGGCCCGAAAAACCATCGAAATTCTGGTTTCAAAACAGCCGGTTTTGGGCTTCACTTTGGCTCGAACAAGGCTAGATATGGGTATGTATGGAAAGAGGAGAGAGAGACGAAGAGTTTGCAAGTTGTGGCACCAGATTTGGTGGCCGGACAACAGAGATATCTGTTTGGGCCTAAAAATTGTGCGGAGCCCAGCCCATTTTTGAAACCCACAAGACATAAGCACAACTTGGACTTGATTTTAAGAAACTGAATAGCAGCCCAAAATGGAGGAAGCCAAAAATTTATCAAACCCATGATAAATAAACAGTCTCAAATTTTGGAAAATAGAGAGGGCAGCCCAACCAAAACATCTGAGGCCCATATCTTTTTGCAAATTGGCAGAGGTTTAGAATAGCACAGAGAATAAACGAATCGATGAAATTGCCAAGATTAAAATTGGTAAGATTCATCACCAAGCATATCAAATCTCTAAAAGAAATTAGATGGGGCCTAGCTTCTAAAATTCTCACCATTTTGATCTTATGCCTAGAGTACAAAGTCAGCAGATCTTTTTGGAAAGTCCATTCTCAGAATCCACGTGACTACCTGACTTTGAAAAGTCAACAATTTCAACTATCACAAGAGAGGTGATAGGGAATTAATGAAGGCAGGTCATTACAGGAAGACTTCTCAGAAACTTTGCAGCTAAAAGATCAATATCTCTTTTCTATATTCAGAAAAATTCTGCTATAGAGCAGGTGCCATTTCCAAGGGATAAGCATGCTATATTTTCTAAAGAGATAAGTAGAGAGCAGGGAGTTGTTCATTTAGAAAATCAAACTAACCATCACGGCAGATTGAATTCTTACAAAGAGTAGTTAAAGATCAAAAAGAGCAGAGAAATAATCACCATAAAGAACTGACTGTTGATGGTTTGTTTGACATTTAAAATAAAAGATCTTAATTGTCTTAATAAATAAAATAAAATAAAAGATCTTCATTTTAGAAAATCTGGCGCCCATTTTTAAAAGATTAGAAAACCCACTCCAGCATTTTCTATAAATATGAGAGGAGATGAACAAATCAGGTTACCCAAAAAATCAATAAAAACAAACACTCAAATGATCACTTGATCTCAAAAACCTTCAAAACACTGAAGCAACCAATAGTGCATTGAGCCACAAGAAACAAGTCAGCTATAATCCAGAATCTCTAAACTTCAATTCAATTTCAGAGAAATAGTCATTCAAAGCGAGATTTCTCTTGTTACAAATTTGGTTCAGCATAAGCCAAATCAAGCAAAGTTCGGGTTTTACAAATATGAAAACCTCAACAAATTTATGGAGAGCCCTGATCTAGCAAATAGGTGCTATAGTGCAGTTCCAGCTTAGTGATCATCAAATCCAGCCACTTCTGCCCTTTCCAGACTGAAGAGGTTCCAATTCTGATCGTTCAAAAAGCCTTCCAAGGCTTGAAATAGATTAAAGCTCTGCCACACTCGAATGTTGGTATCGATATACTGCTGAAACTTGATAGTTGAAGGTGTTGATAGTCCAATCCAGCACAAACATACCCAGTTCTGCCGGATCCAAAACATTTATCCAGACAGAAATTGAAGTCCAGCGCTCTTTTTGTCTTTTTTAGAGTTGGTCTTCCCTTTTGAGCTTTGTAAAAGGCAGTTTTGCCTAAAACTGTTCACTTTCTTATCATTTATTTTGGTCAGAACTACTAGTTTCGTACTATGAAAAATTGTGAAGTCTTCACCAATCTGAGGCAAGAAAAAAACTTATTTGGGAGATATTCCTCACCCAAATTCAGAATCGCTTGTTTAGAAATCAATAACTTGGGGTGCAAGTTATCTATTTTTAAGAAGTCTGCTAGGATTTTCATTGCTAGCAGTGGCACGCTCGCACACAAAAGAAAGTTGACTTGGTGACCAGTCAATGGTTTTCAAGACAATGGGAAACTTTACCTTACCATCACAGGAACAAATCTAAAACGGGTGAACAATTTGGCACGCCCAGTGTGACTTCTCAGTATACATACTCCTAGAAGAGTCTTCTAAGTATATGACTATTGGAAGTTCTAGCCAGAATTCACGCTGTGCCATGGAAAAAGATCAAGCAGCTCTCCAAGAAGGACTTGAGTCAGAAGAAAGTGATGCTAGGCAATCAACCTATGGCAGTACCAGGAGTAGACATTCCAGATATGGATCTCGAAGGTTAAACCAGATGCAAAAGGCCCATCCAAGAACATGAGGCTCCAGTTCATCCAGAAGGCCCTACACCAGTTTAGGCCCCTTAGAACTAGCTAGAACCTCCACCTAGTCCATAACTAGTGGCGCCATGCAACCAGCTGTATTGCCCTACAGACCTAGAAGGATGGACTCGAATCCATTCCCTCCACTAGCAAGAGGCAAGAGAGGTAAGGGGGAGTCAACCCCCTTTGCAAACAATGACAGGAACAGACTGGGGGCAAACTAGAGGAATCATCCAGATTTCGAAGAAGAGGAAGAACACAGGGAGGAAGCTCGGCACAGACCACACATAATGGAGCAGAGGATCGAACACAACCAGCCAGAACAGGGGCGAAATCCGCATCCCGTCAATGCTTTGAATGACATGGGGGCACTTTAGAGAATGATCAAAGATATGATGGAACCTGAGGCCAGAAGAGGAGAAAGGCCCACCTACAGAAAGCCATATCCGGCTTATATTGATCAGATACCTTTATCCTCGAGCTTTAAGGTACCAAACTTCACCTTGTTCAACGGAGAGGACACCCATGCTTCATCAGTTGAGCATATAGGCAGATTCACTGTCCAGTGCATAGCCATAGAAAATAACCCTCTGTTAAAACTAAGGCTTTTTGGAAACTCTCTCTCTGGACAAGCCTTCACCTGGTATACTAGCCTACCAGCTAATTCTATTCAAACTTGGGAATAGATGGAAAATGTCTTCCATGACTACTATTTCAAGATTCAGCTGGAAGTCACCATCAGTGATCTTGCTGCCCTCAAACAGAGTGAAGATGAGCCTGCCCAAGACTTCATAACCAGGTTTAGAAAGCTCAAAATGGAATGCCGAATCCCTATGGAAGAAAGGCACTTCATCCAAATGGCTCAAACTGCCCTTAAAAAACTGGCAAACAAAGCATCTAAGTACAAGGAACTGCTCAAGGAAGAACAATAGAAGAGGAACTCTTCCAAAGGCACATATTACAAAATGCCATCTTCTTCAGTACATCTGGTTGAGGTAGAATCGGAAGAAGGCACAGAAAGCTCGGAAGAAAGAGAAGTTGCAGTGGCAGAAATGGCGAAATTAAAACATCCCATCAGTTGCAAAGCTCTGACAAAACCACCAAAGGACCAAAAGTCACCACCATTCACAGGAGGGTTTGTTCCAAACAAACCAGCATAGAACAAAGTATATTCCTTCGATTTAACCAAGGTTGATGCTCTATTTGATGAGATGTTGCTACAGAAGGCAATAGAGACACCCCACAGGCTGCCCAATCCAAAGGAACTCAAGGGCAGACAATATTGCAGGTGGCACAACTCCTGGAACCATTCCACCAATAGTTGTGTTGTTTTCAAGGACGTCATACAAGAAGGTATAATAGCAGGAAGGCTAAAACTGGCTGAGAAACCTCCCTCAGTAACAACATATCCTTTTCCCTAACCTCAAGTCAACATGGTTAACTTAAATTGGCCAGAACAGAAGAGAGACAAACTAACAGTAGAAGCTAACCCTAGCAGAGGCAGAAGAGTCACAAGGGAGGCTAATCAGAGACCAAGAGCAACCATTTCGATTGGGGTAGTTCTGTGCAGTAGGTGTAAATGTGAAAGTGAATTGGAAGTAACTTTGGATAGGCAAAGTCAGCCCACACCTGGTGTCTTTGACATGATCGGGACATCGTACCAACCGGGCCCAGCTTAGGTCCACTTAGAGACAGAGCCAGACAGAAGGACTATCTAAGACGTGCCCAGCGCAACAAAAGAATAACAGAGCCGCAAAAGAAGGAAGTACCAGTTAAGATGCGCGGGAATGACTATCATAGCAGACAGATGATATTCTGTTGGAAAAAGTGGTAGACCAACTCTGGAATTGTCCAGAACACAGAAGAGGAGAGTTTAAAGGCAATACTACACCTTCCTCAGAACAAGGATGACACACAAGTACTTCCAGAGACCAGTTCTGCCAAAAAAGGGAAAAAACCAGAAGCAGCTCCTCAGGAGAACAGACAACATGTCAACTAGAAGAGCTGACAAAATCAGGATCTCCAAGCAAACCTTCCATCCATCCTGCCTCATCCTTAGTCAATCAGCTAGAACCTTCACAGTCACAAGGTCAATCCGGACCTATTCCAATGGAAAGACAAGAAGATTGGACTGAAGAAAATGAAGAGGAGCAGTTGGACTATGAACCATCTGCAGACGACCAGATTGGGCTCCTCAAAACAGGTAAACAAGAAGACTGGACATAAGAATACGGAGAAGAATAGATGGAGTACGATGGAGAACTGGATGAAAAGACTGAGACTTTCAGTGTAGAGTTAGAGAGCCTATTACAAGGTGATCTAGGCATTAACATGGTGTTTATCCTGCCAAAAAAGTTCAGGGCAGCAGAAGGACAAGAAAGCAATTTGGAAGGAGATGTACTTTCCCAGGAAAGTTTTGAGTGCAGGTTGGCAGAAGTAGAGGATGCACCAGAACAATAACCACCTACTGCCAAAGTATGCAGAACTGCCATAAAATTGGCTGTGGAACAGCTATGTTTTTCCGAACCTACCAAGCAATGCTCAATCATCTCAGACCTTTGTTCATAACAGCAAACTTCGGGGGTGTTCCTATTCCCGAAGTAATGGTAGATGAAGGTGCAGTCATTAATCTTCTACCTCACAGATTGCTGATCAAGATGGGCAGAACAGAGAAGGATCTAATTCCAACAGGCTTAATAGTCACCAACTTCGCTGGGGGCATCACGAAGACTCATGATATTAGATGTGGACGTCATAGTAGGAACCAAGAAGCTGAAAATTGCATTTTTTGTGGTAGACACCACATCTACCACTTACAATGCACTGCTTGGTAGAGACTGGATCCACCAGAGTCTATGTGTTCCTTCCACTCTACACAAGCAGTTGGCCCTCTGGCATGAAGGGGGTTTGATGGAAATTGTGGAGGCCGACCCACGACCATTTCTGCCATCTGCATTATGTTTTGAGGCCAGGTATTATCATGATGATCTTGGTCCTTTCACTTTCTTCGGAGTTAACCAGAATGGCCGTCCCCATGGTCACAGCCCAAAAACTCATTGAAGAAGGTCTGGCTGGTTCTCTAGAGGACTGGAATAGACCCTGCGTTCTCAACCTCCACAATTTTGATGTTTAGTTCAAACTAACAGGAAAAAGATCGAGCTGCAACAATCCGATCCATTACAATAGATTGTTGGTTTATTGGGAAGAAAGGAAACTTTCTATGCATAGTCCAGCCATTAACATGGCAGAATTCATGCATGAGAGTATAGAAGAGCAGGAAGGAAATGTACCAGAAGAAGAATTGGAATTTGCACCGGTGGCACTGGATGATTCCCTGCCAGAAGTAGAGGATCCTTTACAAGAAATAAACCTGGGGACAGAAAAGGATCCCAGACCTACTTTCATTAGCACATTACTAGAAGAGCCAGTAAAGGATGAAATTATTGCACTTCTGCACGATTTCAAAGACTGTTTTGCATGGCATTATCATGAAATGCCTGGACTGGTTAGAGGACTGGTGGAGCACAAGTTGCCAATAAAGAAGGATACCTGCCAGTCAAACAGGCCAGAAGAAGGATGTCTATGGAGACAGAATTCAAAGTCAAAGAAGAAGTGGAGAGGCTGGTTAAAGCAGGCTTTATCAGGCCAACCATCTATGCTGATTGGTTGTCCAATATTGTACCAGTCCTTAAAAGGAAGACAGGGGCAGTCAGAATATGTGTGGACTATAGGAATCTGAATGAAGCATCTCCAAAAGACGAGTATCCAATGCCTATGGCAAACATGCTAGTAGACAGAGCTACTCATAATCAAATGCTATTATTCATGGATGGCAATGCAGCATACAATCAAATTACGGTGGCAGAAGAAGACATCCACAAGACAGCTTTCATGTGTCCAGGACATACAGGTGCTTTTGAATACACTGTAATGCCTTTTGGCTTGAGAAATGCAGAGCCACTTATCAAAGAGCAATGAATTCTGTTTTCCATGACATGATAGGTCATTCTCTAGAAGTTTATATAGATGATGTGGTCATTAAGTCCCCAGAAAAAGGAGATCATGTATCAAATCTGAAAAAGGCATTCCTAAGAATGAGACAACACAAGTTGAAAATGAATCCCATGAAATGTGTTTTTGGGGTTCAAGCTGGCAATTTCTTGGGTTTCTTGGTCAACCAAAGAGGAATAGAAATCGACAAGAACAAAGCAAAATCTATCATGGAAGCTTTGCCACCTTGGAACAAGAAAGAATTGCAGAGTCTCCTAGGAAAGATCAACTTTCTAAGAAGATTCATATCCAATTATGCAGGAAAAATCTAGCATTTCTCCTCCTTGTTAAGATTGAAGTAGGAATAGACATTTAAGGGGGAAGAATAGCCCAGCAAGCTTTTGAGGAAATCAAACACTACCTCTGAAATCCACCAGTGCTGTCCCTACCAAAGAGAGGCAGACCACTCAAATTATATGTTTATGCATCAGAAGTATCCATCGAGAGTCTGTTAGTTCAAGATAACAAGGAAGGGAAGGAACATGTAGTATATTATCTAAGCAGAACTTTGATAGAAGTAGAAAGGAAATATTCTGCAACTGAAAGGCTTGTTTGGCTTTATACTTTACTGCTGTAAAACTCAGACATTACATGCTACCTTTCACCACCTTCATTGCCAAGACATATATGATCAAGTACATGCTAACAGGCCAATGTTGAGAGGGAGAATTGGTAAATGGACTTTGGCCTTGTCAGAATTTCCCTTCAGATATGTTCCTCAGAAGTCCATCAAGGGACAAGCTGTTGCAGATTTCTTGGCAGATCATCCAGGAGAAGAAATTGAGAATATGGATTCCATGGACATAGCCAATGCAGATCTATTGACCAGAGCTCACACCTGTCTCAATAATCCCATTTATTCAGTCCATCTCACCCTTGGAAGGTATACTTTGATGGATCTAAAACAGACTCAGCCACTGGGACAGGGATTGTTTTAGAAGATCCACTAGGAATCAAACATTGTTATCATTCCAGCTAGATTTCCAGTGCACCAACAACAAGACAGAGTACGAAACCATAATCATCGGGCTAGAAATGCTGGTGGAACTAGGAATCCATGCTTGTATTAAACAAATTGCTGGAGAATACAAATGCTTGAGCTCCTCTCTAGCTGTCTATCTAGTGGCAGCTAGAAATCTCTTAGCAGAATTCAGGGAAGCCACTTGGGAATATATTCCAAGAGAAGAAAACTTTGCAGCAAATTAGATGGCCCAAATAGCAACAGGGTTACAAATCCCTGAAAACTGCGTGCAAAGAATCAAGGTAGGAAAGAAAAGCCTACCATCTGTTCTAACCAGAGGAATGGAAATAGATGTTATGTTGCCATAATGACTGAAGAAGATTGGAGATTGCCTATAATCAATTATCTGCAGTATCTAACCCTTCCCTCTTAAAAAAGGATTAGATCATAGCCTTAAACTACCTCTTGTAGAATGGAGATTTGGTTCGAAAAGAAAAGTTGAGTTACTTTTGAGGTGCTTAGGGAAAAAGAGTACATGAAGGTCATGGGAGAAACCCATGAAGGAATCTGTGGAGCTCATCAAGATGGAAGGAAGATGTGCTGGTTAATTAGAAGGTATGGCTACTTCTAGCCAACTATGATGAAAGACTGCATTGAATATTCCAAAGGATGTGAAGCTTGTCAGAGGCATGGACTAATCCAGTAGGCTCCTTCAGTTCCCATGAATCCAGTAGTTAAGCCATGGACATCCAGAGGATGGGCAATGGATCTTATTGGCAAAATCTATCCAGCCAGTAGCAAACAACACTGTTTTATCATTGTAGCTACAGACAATTTCAACAAGTGGGTAGAAGCCTAACCTGTTAAATCCACTATATTTCAATTGATCATCACCTTCATAAAAGAACATATCATACAAAGGTTTGGCATTCCAGAGTCATCACAACTGACAGGGGATCTTCTTTCATATATGGAGAAATGCTAGATATGACAGAAGCATTCAAGTTCAAACTACTTCAATCCACTCCTTATTATGCTCAAGCTAATGGACATGCAGAATCAAGTAATAAGGTGATCATCAACATTATCAAGAAAATGCTCAAGAAGAATCCAGGGCAATGGCATGAGAAATTATCAGAAACTCTCTGGGCATATAAAACTTCAAAGAGAGAGGCAACTGGCATGACCCCATATGCTCTAACCTATGGTCATGATGCAATTCTGCCTATGGAAATAGCAATCTAATATCTCAGAATTGCTCAGCAACACAATCTGATTGAGAAGACTACTCTCAAGCAATGCTGCTAGAACTAGAAGGTTTGGATACCGGCATAATTGATACCCTCAACAAACTCTTAGCAGGGAAATAGGCTGTATCAAGGGGCCTACATAAAAGAGTTAAAAACAAGAGTTTTGAAGGGGGAGAAATCGTCTGGAAAGTAGTTTTGCCCCTTGGAACACACATAGCTGGTTATGGAAAATGGTCACCCACGTGGAAAGGTCCTTTCATAATCAAGCAAGTCCTTGGATTGGGGGCATACAATTGTAGGATTGACATGGAGACATCCATGCAGCACCAATCAATGGCAAATGTTTGAAAAAGTTTTATCCAACTATGTGGGATTCACAGGCAGTCCAAACAGATCCTGGAATTGAAGGGGGAACAAGATGGAAATGTTGTTAAAAAATTTTTTTGTTCAAAGTTGGGCTCTTAATGTAATTTGTTAAGTATATTTTATTTTATGCTTTCTTTATTTTTATCAAAAGAAATTGAAAATGAAAAAATTCCACCAAAAAAGGAACTTTTATTAAATATAGTCATTTTCCATGACTAAGTTTTATTACATTTAGAAATTAAAATTAAAACCCTAATTTCCTAAGGATTTCTGGCAAATTGGTCTTCTTGATAGAGAGTTCTTTTTGAAGCAGCACCCTCTGGTGGATTGAAGCCTCTGTAATTTGCAATGCTCACCTGGAAGCTGAGACCATGCTCTACATGAGAAAGGTAGCCTTGGTTTTGGAATTCAGTCTAGCCCCAAGCTTGTTCTGCACCTCCCTACATTCTGCCAGTTCCTTTTGGAGTTCTTCAATTTGCTTCTCTAGCTTGTCAACAATGGCCTTAGCTTCTTTATAACTTGTAACCATTTGGTCCGGTTCTGCCTTCTGTTTTGCATAATCAGCCATGGTGGCTTCATGGGTGGCCTTGCAGAACTCAGAGGTTTTGAAGGTAGGCCTGATATCCTCATAGTGATCGTGAAGGTTGAGCACATCTCTTGCCAAGCCAAGGCTCATCTCAAGTATAGGTTTGGGAGCCATATTCTGTCTATGCAGTAGGTCTAGGTCCTTCATCAATTGGTCAACTCAGTGGATGCTAGATCTTCACCCTATCCATTGCCTCATCCACAGCCTTGGACTTGGCCTTGCCAGGAGTGGAGCTAAGCTTGTCAAGTTTGTCCAGCTGAGATCTAAATCCATAGCTTCAAACTCTGCCAATTCTGGATCAGCAAAGGAAGTCGTGGTAGATGAGCCTGGGAGAGAATGGATAGGCATCTACAAAAGGAACTCAAGTTAGTTTCATGGAAAATTAAAATCAAAGGAAAGACCAAGAGCAAGTAAATACTTACAGCTACAATAGGAGGCTTGAGAGGACTGATTGCTACGATCAGAACCCCAGCAGTTCTATCTTTTTCCACCTAAAAAGGACAAAGGCATTAGAGGCAAGACAAGACAGAATTGTAGAAACCAGACATAGTTAAAATAAGAACAGGAAATTACCACAAGTCCGGGAACAGCAGCAGCTACCTCCACTTTAGGCTCTAGAGATGCAACAGGAAGTTCTGCCTGTTCCACAGGTTCTTATGCAGATTGCTCTGCCTGCTTCACAGTACTGGAACTGCAGTGGAGTGTTCTGCCTCTACATCCTCAAAAAGGGCCAACTCTGAGCTTGTTAGTTTTGCCCTTTGAGTTTCCTGCTGCTTCTTCGCCAAAGCGATACTCTCTGCATTATTTCAGTAGGAATCTCTTCCTACAGATAGACAGAAGTTAGAACAGAGAATAAAACGAGACATAATTGCTTTTGTGGTTGGAGAACGAGACTCACCTCTTCTTCCACTACCTCGAAGGCCTCTCTCAACTCCCCATCAGTTCAAGAGGTAGTTGTAGGAGCTGCTGTAGATTTGTGACCACATATCCCTCCATAGTCCTCTTCCTAAGTCTTTTCGACCTAGTGAGAGGAGGAGGAGAACTTTCACTGCAAGAATAGAAGACAAAAGTCAGAACAGATAGATTGAACTGAGCAGAACAGAATCAGAAGATTCATTCTGGTTGAAGGAGTTGCCTCAACACTTGTTTGTTTTGCCAAAGTCTCATGTGCATCCCTTTCATCTCCAAAAAGGAGTTCCAAATCTCCATCAGCTATGATAGAAGTGACGCACAAAGAAAAGAGGATTAGAAGGCGATCCAACAAGAAAATATAAAACAGCATAATTCGGGGACTTCCCAATCACTTCTCCGCCCTAGACAGCCTGGCCTTCAATATTCTTTGTCAAGGAAGGATCTATTGCATAAAGAACAAATCATTAGACAACATCACATAGGCAGAATGGGATAAATACAGAAAGAAAAAGAGGTAAATTCAGAATCTACCTTCAATGACTTGTGCATTAATGTCCTTGATTATCTGGACCAGAAAATTCTTGGCCTCTGCTCCTGCATGAACAATCTAGGAATCCCAGCCATCAAAAAGCACTTTGAGGGCAGTACTTGAGGCAGCCAGACCTTGGAATCTGGCTTTTCACCAAGCATCAAAATCAGTAGAACTGCAGGAATTAGGCTCTCAGGATGGATAGAGAGCATCTGCACTCTTAATATAGTGCCTGAAGAACATCAGGCACTCTTCAATTAACGGAAGCGCCAAAACTTGATCTTCAGGCAGAACTATATTTGGAAACCTCAGTTCTGGGAAATAAACCTGCAGCCATATCTAGATCATCCAGAACGCACCAGGAGCAAACAGGTTCAAAGGATTCTCCAAGGTGGCAGTATACAAATTCTTATATAGATGAGCCAGAACCATAGGCCCAAGCCAAACATCAGTATGGTTGTGCAGTGCTTCTGCCAGGTGCTTATACTCAAGTAGAACTGCTGAGGATCAGTTTGGAAAAAACGAACCTATTCAGCCAGTACAGAAGGAACAACATATGCGTTGATCCTTGTCCTTCTCAGCACTGAACTTCCTTAAATAGTTAGAGAATGAGCAGTTTTGGTTGATTGTGGTTGGAGAGATAGTGAAGGGCTTCACTAGTTTTTCTTGAATTTTCCTCCTGTGGTAATCACCAACTGCATCCACAGGTCTTCCATGGGGTCTGAATCCAAAATCTGAGCCATATCCAGTAGTGTTGGAGTCATTAGGCCCAGGCGAAAATCGAAAGTGTTGTTGGCAGTGTTCCAGAAGCACAGAGCAGCAACCAGAAGGTTCTTGTCTCTGTTTATCGACTGCTTGGATAGAAGAATAGCATCATAAATTCCAGCCCTCCTCTAGTGAAATTTATGATGCCCACTTCACTGGACTATTCCTCACTTCACTAGAGGGAAAATTCTGCCATTTCAGCAGAAGTACTCTGAAAGCATAGAGGAGCTTCAGCGGCACCCTTGAAAAATTCTGCCATTTCAGCAGAAGAACTCTGAAAGCACAGAGGAGCTTCAGCGTCACCCTTGAACAATTCTGCCATTTCAACAGTAACACGGCCAAACCAATGAGGGCCTAGAACCAAATTCTTTTGGACAACGAGGTGGAGCTTGCTACGAACCTCTATGGCATGATTATCAACACCATATCCTATGAGATAAGCAGGAGATCGTGAAGAAGAAGAGCCCTTGACACGAGTGTTTGGAGAAGAACAGGGAAGTATTGAAGGAACGAGCTAAGAGTGGAGGGATTTGAAAATAAATGAAAGCTGATAACAGAATTAGGTTATGAATGAACAGTGATGGAGGTTGGAAGTTCTTAAAAAACTAAAGGAAGAAGATCGTGGAAGAGTGGAAGAAATTGTAGTCAGAATAAATTAGCCATAAGAAACTAACCACTTACACACGAGTTGAAAAGACAAGTGTGGGCTAGTTACAACGGAAGGAAATGGCGCGCACAATTAATGGCCAATCATTAAGTCTGAAACCATTCCAAAAAGATTTAGACTTAAGGGGCATTGTTTCGGCCTAAAAATTGTGCGAAGCCCAGCCCTTTTTTGAAACCCACAAGACATAAGCACAGCTTGGGCCTAATTTTAAGAAACTGAAGAGCAGCCCAAAATGGAGGAAGCCCAAAATTTATCAAACCCATGATAAATAAACAGTCCCAAATTTTGGAAAATAGAGAGGGCAGCCCAACCAAAACATCAGAGGCCTATATCTTTTTGCAAATTTGTAGAGGTTTACAAAGTCAGCAGATCTTTTTGGAAAGTATATTCTCAGAACCCACGTGACTACCTAACTTTGAAAAGTCAACAATTTCAACTATCACAAGAGAGGTGATAGGGAAGTAATGAAGGCAGGTCATTACAGGAAGACTTCTTAGAAACTTTGCAGCCAAAAGAGCAAAATCTCTTTTCTATATTCAGAAAAATTCTGCTCCAGAGCAGGTGCCATTTCCAAGGGATAAGCAAACTATATTTTCTAAAGAGATAACTAGGGAGCAGGGAGTTGTTCATCTAGAAAATCAAACTAACCATCACGGTAGATTGAATTCTTACAAAGAGCAGTTAAAGACCAAAAAGAGCAGAGAAGTAATCACCATAAAGAACTTACTGTTAATGGTTTGTTTGCCAAAATAGATAAAAATCCCTTTTTCTTTGACATTTAAAATAAATGATCTTGACTTTAGAAAATCTGCCGCCCATTTTTAAAAGATTAGAAAACCTACTACGGCCTTTCTATAAATATTAGAGGAGATGAACTGATCAAGGACATCCAAAAAATCAATCAAATACAAAAACTCAAAATGATCACTTGATCTCAAAAACCTTCAAAACACTGAAGCAACCAATAGCTCATTGAGCCACAAGAAACAAGTCAGCTATAATCCAGGATCTCTAAACTTCAGTTCAGTTTCAGAGATATAGTCATTCAAAGCAAGATTTCTCTTGTTACAAATTTGGTTCAGCATAAGTCAAATCAAGCAGAGTTCGGGTTTTACAAATATGAAAACCTCAACAAATTTTGGAGAGCCCTGATCAAGCAGAACAGGTACTACAGTGCAGTTCCAACTTAGTGATAATCAAATTCAGCCACTTCTGCCCCTTCCAGACTGAAGAGGTTCCAATTCTAACCGTTCAAAAAGCCTTCCAAGGCTTGAAATAGATTAAAGCTCTGCCACACTCGAACTTGGTATCAATTTACAGCTGAAACTTGACAGGTGAAGGTGTTGATAGTCCAATCCAACACAGACATACCCAGTCTAGCCCGGATCAGAAACACTTATCCAGGCAGAAATTGAAGTCTAGCGCTCTTTTTGTCTTTTTTATAGTTGGTCTTCCCTTTTGAGCTTTGTAAAGACAGTTCTGCCTGAAATAGTTCACTTTCTTATTATTTATTCTGGTCAGAACTACCAGTTTCGTACTGTGAAAAATTGTGAAGTCCTCACCAGTCTGAGGCAAGAAAAGAACTTACTTGGGAGATATTCCTCACCCAAATTCACAATCGCTTGTTTAGAAATCAGTAACTTAGGGTGCAGTGGCACGCTCGCACACAAAAGAAAGTTGACTTGTTGACGAGTCAATGGTTTTCCAGACAATGGGGAACTTTACCCTACCATCACAGGAACAAATCTAAAATGGGTGAACGATATCTCCGTCTAAAAATCTATTGCGAAAACTGGGGGGGAGAGGCTAAATCTGGAAAGAGAGAAAGTTGGCTGGGTTTTTAAAAAACTGACTTCGAAATATTTGCGGTTATGCCACTGGGCTTCCGTAGATCATAACTTCTTTGTTATAACTCCGATTTGAGCCCACTACGTGTTTGCAGACTCATCTCGACGTGCTCTACGCAACGGTTCCATTAAAGTTCCCAAATTCTTTCCCAAACAAAAAGTCAACTTTTAAACCATTAAAATATTCTCGGGGTAAAATTGTCTTTTACTTGAAATACTTAATAATTACACCAACCACAAGAAAAACAAAATAAAAAAGCACACCAAAATAGACGACAGAAAAGGAAAGTAAATGCCACACTAAAGGGTGGCGAAGAGGCTACACGAGAGGTAGAGAGAAGCCACCTCAAAGGTTGGCAGCATAGCTAGAAGCTTAGAAGAGGAAGATGGGGTATAGGATAGCTAGTAGTTCTCTGCTTACATATTTGTCAAGGAAACAAGCCTATATACAGTGGCAGCTCTAAAATTTTAGGGAAATGACCTCCACTACCACCCATTTTGCTAATATTAACTAAAAATACCACCCCTTCCCAATTTTGTAAAACTATAACCCTATAAATATTATAAAAAAAAAAAAAAAAAAAAAAAAAAAAAAAAAAAAAAAAAAAAAAAAAAAAAAAAAAAAAAAAAAAAAAAAAAAAAAAAAAAAAAAAAAAAAAAAAAAAAAAAAAAAAAAAAAAAAAAAAAAAAAAAAAAAAAAAAAAAAAAAAAAAAAAAAAAAAAAAAAAAAAAAAAAAAAAAAAAAAAAAAAAAAAAAAAAAAAAAAAAAAAAAAAAAAAAAAAAAAAAAAAAAAAAAAAAAAAAAAAAAAAAAAAAAAAAAAAAAAAAAAAAAAAAAAAAAAAAAAAAAAAAAAAAAAAAAAAAAAAAAAAAAAAAAAAAAAAAAAAAAAAAAAAAAAAAAAAAAAAAAAAAAAAAAAAAAAAAAAAAAAAAAAAAAAAAAAAAAAAAAAAAAAACTTATCCCAGCTTTTTAATACCAACTGATGAGGCACATAAGGCCATCTCCAGCCATGGGCTATATCCCAAATATAGCCTTAAATTAATGCAAAAACCCATCTCCAGCCATGGGCTAAATAAAATTTTGGCCAAATTTGGAGGGCCACATTTGGCCCTTTAGCCCTCCAACTGGGCCAAATGTAGCCAAGCTTTGGCCTAGGCCAAATTCATAGTGGACCCCACCATGTGCTTTTCAATCATCAAATATTAAAGCACTCCCCCACTTGCCTTATTTAAAGCATTCTCAAAATAATAAATATGAGGATCCTAAAATATAGCCATGCATGGCTGGAGATGGAAAATTTTAGCCCTACACTATTCTTTAAAAAATTAATATTTTGGGGGGCTAAATTTTTAGCCCTGGACTACATTTAGCCCTATGGCTGGAGATGGCCTAATATGATAGTCGCTTGCTGTTTGTAAATAAATGAGGCTCAAATTTAAACAAATGAAGTACTACCACATCAGTTTGAATATGAGTTGGTGTGCCTAGGATTATATGTAAAATTCATTGATAGGAAGGTATTAAGGAGCCATTGGTTACCAAATTGGTTGTATAGCATTGAAGTAGGATGTGAGATGGTTGGTTCAGCTTTTGGTGGGTTATTGCCTCAAAGAATGTTATTTTGAGAAGCGAGAGGGTTTGGATTGAGCATGAAGACACGCTGGATTATGAGAAATCCCTAAGCGAAGCTTCCAACGTTCTGAAAGGAACTCAAAAATGCCAAAGGTTTAGAATTCCAAAAACAAGATTGTCTCAATTTAGTTCACTCTATTTATACATGATAGAATCTCGAGAAAACCCTATAGAGTTAAATTGTAGCCCTCAGAATAAAAATAATCTCACTTGTCAAATTAGCTTGGGGAAACTAGCACAAAAAAATTGCTACAATGCTGCTATGGTATCCATGAACTGTACTCCCAATCTGTTTTTTAAATTGTTTGTCATTCTCCTCTACCTTACATAACATTTTAGCAGAAGAGAAAAAGAAAAAGAAAAAGAAATGCTTACCAGACAACTGTGAAGGGTGTTGCAACTGCATGGCAAATGTTCTTGATGTTTATTACTATGTGAAAAGTTGTTCGTCCCAGAATAGGAGACATTATAAGTTATGCCTACTCATTTTCACTGGAGGTTTCAAATTGAGTGGCAAATGTGAATTTCTGTTTTCCCTGCTATAATAGAAATATTTTATCCATACTTTCAGGTGAATCTTATCGTCATGGGGATAAAATAGACAATTCTAAATTTGGGGCAGATCCTGGGTTGCCTAGTGAAGTTGCCTCTGGAGTAAAAACAGCTCAAAATGGAGGAAAAACTGGTACACCAGCATTCCGCTGCAAGAAATGCCGAAGAATTGTTGCATTGCAGGACAATGTTGTGGATCACATTCCAGGCATGGGTGGGAAATCGTTTGAGTGGCGAAAGCGAAAAAGTAGCAACTTGTCTGAGGGTTCTGAATGTTCATCCATTTTTGTTGAGCCCCTAAGGTGGATGACAGCAGGTAACTGTGCCATATTTATAACTGTATGGCTTACCTTTTTCATTGCAGTAATAGTTAATCATGCGAAAGTGCTCCCTTGTCAAAAAAAGTTTCCTTGGGTTCTTTGATTTGATTGTTATTTCATATTTATAAATGCTCTACAGTTGTTTAACTGGGTTATTATATGATCAAATTGTCACTTGAGATTACATGTCAGCTGCGAATTGATTTTTCTTGTTGACCAATTAATCCAGTGTGTTGACAAATGATGGAATTTGAAACATTGAAAAAAGTGTCGAATATACTCAGACAGAATCCACATCCTTTTCACATTCCTATTTCTGAACCTATAGGGCTTTTCTTGGTCTTTTCCTTTCTTTATTTTTCTTCAGCCGATTTTGGTTTCCTTATACCTTAACTTGAATGAAGTAGAAGTAATTTCATGTGGAGGCATCTTTTGTTCAATGTGATTTGTCATAGAAACACGACATAATTTAATCTTTCATATGTTTTCTCATTTCGCAGTTGAAGATGGAGCACTGGAGGGCAAGTTGTCATGTGCACATTGTGAAGCTCGCTTGGGTTACTTCAATTGGTCAGGCAGCCAATGCAGTTGCGGGAATTGGATCACTCCTGCCTTCCAGCTTCATAGAAGCCGTGTGGATGTCAGCACTGTCTAATATCCGTCAAGGCAAAGCTTGAGTTGAGGCCCTATCAGGATGAAGTATCCAAAACCCCTCTAAGCAATCAACGAAAAGGATGTAGTTTATGGAGTTTCTCATACTGTATGTACCCAGATCAAAATTGAGCAGCTGCGGCTAGAGAAAATGCTTCCTTGATCCGTGTTATATGAGATTTTGGGGATTCGGGTTTTGTAGTTCTCATTTTCCAATGCAAACTTAGTTTAGGTGCTGAAAATATTGTTCTGCATAACAGGATAAGTTGAGTTTTGACCATATAATATGAACAAAATCCCTGATTGGGAAAGTAATTAATTTTTCATCTGTTATATATGAATTGCATTTGATCATTGACAAGTTCTATGACAATCAGCCATAAGTACCAGTTTCCTTTTTAGTTTTTTTTTATAGTTTTTTTTTTTACAGTTTTTATATATATTATTTTAATTTAAAGAAAGTATTAGTTATTGTTATAGGCTATGCCGAATGAAACTGTATTGAATTTGTGTCTCATGTTCTTCAGTTTATGAGATTTACAAAGGTATGCACATCTAAGAAAATTTAGTTATACCAAGTGAAGTGAAACAAAGGGGACTCCCATTATTTAACAGTCCGAATGCAATATACTGCAACTGTGCATCCACAAATTTGTTCAAATGTCTTTCCTGGCGTGCATATGAAAAGCAATTTAAATGGATCTAAGAACGATGGTTCTTGTAGATAACTCCGAACGCAAGAACAAAAAAAAACAAAAACAAAAAGAACTTTTATAAGAATAAAAGGATCAAAATTGGTGAAGATGTTGCAATTGATGGAAGAAAAACAAGTACTTTTGTATAAGAATAAGAGGTTCAAGATGGGAGGAGCTGGAGAGAGTGATTGTGTGATTGAGCTACCACCATGCCTCATCTCACTTTTTTTAGGAGGATGATGCGGCAGCTAATAGTTTTTAGATGAAGGGAACAGAAAAGAAAGAAGATTAACATTAGGAGTACAAGAATGTGTTTTTTAAGCACAAAGCTTAAACATGATTTTAGGCCCTCATTAACTAAATTTGTGGTCGTCTTAGTTTCCCTACAAGTACAAGACTCTTCACTGTCTTAAGTTCAATTCTTTTATTTTAGGGTAGAGAAGAATGAGAGCACACCTCCTCCAATTGATTTTGAGAAAAGTTTTACAGGAAGGCCTGAGGGTGTCCAAACAGAAACTTCCTTCATTGAACTATGGAGGTGAGAATGAGAGGCTATCAAGAAATGGCTCTCAGGCTTCTGCAAGAAGTGCTACTGTTGATGAGTGTAAAGCACAAAATACCACATTCACAACTGATGACAAGAGTACTGAATGCAGTACTTTAGATGAAGGAACAGAGGAAATGACTGATACCCAATGCAATACTCAACTTGCTGATCGTACGGTGAGTTTTTTTATTTTGTCATCACTTCTTCAGAGTAAGCATTCATTGAGCGTTTTTTGAGATGGGACTCTAAAAATTTTCTTCAACTGTGAAAGTGCATCATCCTTCGATCTTAGGTAGCCAAACCCTACTGTTGGTCCTTTTTCCCCGTCTTTCATCCTTTTACCAACCGCAGGGGTCAGCTCTGCTCTGAGGAACGAGGAGGAATTATTGGATCAACACCAATGCCCCGATCGGATGGTGTCTCTTGGCTCGCAGAGAGAATCCTTTCAATTTCTGAGCAAAATTGAAAGTTGTATCAGTTTGGCGGGAGCAAACAGACCTAATCCAGGCCTTGGTTGTCAACTTCTTCTCAGTACTGATCCTCGTTGTTGCGTAGGCGTGCCACTATTGAGTATATAACCAGCCCAATAGATCTGGTGTGGATGTGAGCGACTGATGCCGATGGAGTTTGCGCCTCCTTTGGACTTCTTACCAAGCCATCACTACTACAAAAATCGAAATAGACGACGGGAAACCACCGTCGTGTAAAAGGTTTTCGCCCGGTCGTGAAATCGACTGCCGTCTATTTGGGTTTCAAACTACGACGGCTTTTCACCGTCGTTGTTTATCAGTAAAGATGACGGTTTTTAAAGAAAATCGTCGTTGTTTAGAGGTAAAGATCGTTAATTATAGGAGGAAAGACGACTGTTTTTAATAAAACCGTCGTGTATTGTATGTAAAGATGACGATTTTTTTATGAAAACCGTCGTGGATTGTTTATAAAGACGTCATCTTTACATACAATAGACGACCTTTTTTTATAAAAAGCGTCATCTTTACATACAATAGACGACGGTTTTTATAAAAAGCGTCATCTTTACATACAATAGACGACGGTTTTTTATAAAAAGCGTCATCTTTACGTACAATAGACGACGGTTTTTTTATAAAAAGCGTCCTCTTTACGTACAATAGACGACGGTTTTTTATAAAAAGCGTCATCTTTACGTATAATAGACGACGGTTTTATAAAAAGCGTCATCTTTACATACAATAGACGACGGTTTTTATAAAAAAACGTCATCTTTACGACGTCATCTTTACGTACAATAATGCTTTTGATTTCCTATGATGCTATACAACGATTTTAACTAGAAAACCAACCATAATGCTTTATAAAAAATAGTTTCTTTCATAAAACTTGAAGATTCAATAGTTATTACATAGTTAACCAATCTTTATTCTACAACAAACATAATTCCTAACAAGACCTACGTACTCCTAATCCAAGCATTCCTCATCCAAACATACAAATGATGCACAACTGAAGTCTCCTCCATCATCCCTGTAAATCAAAATGACAAAGAGGAAAAAAAAAAAAAAAAAAGAAACAAAGATTATAAACATAAAAAATTAGGTGGAAGAGAAATTTTACCATTGGTCCATATTTCCATAGAAAACTTGTAAAATGAGCATAAAAAAGACCATCGAGAACCTGCAAATTTTCAACAACAAAAAAACATACGACTCACATAGAAAACCTGCAAAAGAAAAAGTTATAAATCTGCAAGCTTCCTCCTCATCTCCTGATAACCAAATCAGAAAATCTAAAAAGAAACCAGAAATAAAATAAAAAAATATGTAAACAAATCAGACAAATCAAGAGAGACAAAATCTGAAATTAGGGATACAAAGAACATACCAAAAACGCAAAGAGACTAATCCAGAATTCACTAGCAAGATATAGAAGGGTATTAAGAGATTAGGTGACTTTCAAATCAAACCTTTCAACCAGCTTTGATTCTCAAATACAGAACATCCCTCTACATCTTATGGATTTGCTAAGACCTCAATCTCTCAACTCCTTCATTGATATCGATCTTTTGATGATTTTGTAGAGAGTTTTCATGAGGGTGTTTTAGAGAGTGCATGAGGGTTTCAAGGAGGGAGAGATAAGGTTTTCAAAGACGGGGGAAAATCTGAAAATTTGACAAGCGCGAATTCACTTAAGTAGACTTTTTTTAGCGTGTTTTAAAAGACGACGCTTGTTAATGAGAGATAAGATTTTCAAAGACGGGTGAAAATTTGAAAATTTATCGAGCGCGAATTCACTTAAGCGGCCATTTTTTAGCGCGTTTTAAAAGACGACGCTTTTTTTAAAAAAAATTTGTCATCTTTACATATAATATACGACGGTTTTTTTTATAAAAAGCGTCATCTTTACATATAATAGACGACGGTTTTTATAAAAAGCGTCATCTTTACATACAATAGACGACGGTTTTTTATAAAAAGCGTCATCTTTACGTACAATAGACGACGGTTTTTATAAAAAGCGTCATCTTTACGTACAATAGACGACGGTTTTTATAAAAAACGTCATCTTTACATACAATAGACGTTTTTTTCCACTACACTTCTTGACCCTATATGAATACAATGACTGAATTTGATCTTCAATTTAAAATATTTACACTAGTGGATACCACAAAATCTTATGTTATATTTAACGAAAGTATAAATAAACTCTTAATTGTTAGTGAATATTTTTTTTTATGGCATACGCATTTTAAGAAACTAGTTTCAACGATCCAACCGTCAAACTTGTTTGTTTATACTTCGAGATCATCTACACCAAAAATCGAAAAAATAAACATTCAGAGATAAAGTAACGGGACAAAAAATTTCGACGGTTATAAATGAAAAATCATGATTTAACGGTTATTTTAACTCCGATTTTGATGATTTTTTACCGCTACACTCCTTGACCCAATATGAATACAATGATTGAATTTGATCTTCAATTTAAAATATTTACACTAGTGGATACCACAAAATCTTATGTCATATTTAACGAAAGTATAAATAAACTCTTAATTGTTAGTGAATATATTGTTTTGATGGCATATGCATTCTAAGAAACTAGTTTCAATGATCCAACCGTCAAACATGTTTGTTTATACTTCGAGATCATATACGCCAAAAATCGGAAAAAATAAACATTCAGAGATCAAGTAACGGGACAAAAAATTTCGACGGTTATAAATGAAAAATCATGATTTAACGGTTATTTTAACTCCGATTTTGATGATTTTTTACCGCTACACTCCTTGACCCTATATGAATACAATGACTGAATTTGATCTTCAATTTAAAATATTTACACTAGTGGATACCACAAAATCTTATGTTATATTTAACGAAAGTATAAATAAACTCTTAATTGTTAGTGAATATATTGTTTTGATGGCATACGCATTCTAAGAAACTAGTTTCAAACGATCCAACCGTCAAACTTGTTTGTTTATACTTCGAGATCATCTACACCAAAAATCGAAAAAAATAAACATTCAGAGATAAAGTAACGGGACAAAAAATTTCGACGGTTATAAATGAAAAATCATGATTTAACGGTTATTATAACAAACCATCATCTTTACATATAATAGACGACCATTTTTTATAAAAAAGCGTCATCTTTATATATAATAGACGACCCTTTTTTAAAAAAAAAAAAAAAAAAAAAAAAAAAAAAAAAAAAAAAAAAAAAAAAAAAAAAAAAAAAAAAAAAAAAAAAAAAAAAAAAAAAAAAAAAAAAAAAAAAAAAAAAAAAAAAAAAAAAAAAAAAAAAAAAAAAAAAAAAAAAAAAAAAAAAAAAAAAAAAAAAAAAAAAAAAAAAAAAAAAAAAAAAAAAAAAAAAAAAAAAAAAAAAAAAAAAAAAAAAAAAAAAAAAAAAAAAAAAAAAAAAAAAAAAAAAAAAAAAAAAAAAAAAAAAAAAAAAAAAAAAAAAAAAAAAAAAAAAAAAAAAAAAAAAAAAAAAAAAAAAAAAAAAAAAAAAAAAAAAAAAAAAAAAAAAAAAAAAAAAAAAAAAAAAAAAAAAAAAAAAAAAAAAAAAAAAAAAAGTGTGCTGAAATAATCAGCCTACAAATTGTATTCTAATATAATCACTTGGGGACCGAAGTGCCCTCCATATAAAAGCAGATGTATCAACCCTTTAGCGCCTCTTTCTTCTGTGTTTTCGCAGTTTGGCATAGCGGCTCTTTGTTCTCTGTTTTCGCAGTTTGGCAAAAATGGGTGAACTCTAGGTTGCGAGACATTTTGGCACTGAGCAATCCAGTTCGCAACCCATCCATAGTCACAACCCAGATGTCCTAAACTTTCGAACCCTAGTTTGACCGTAGCGAAGCCGGCGGAACGCACCGCCTCCATTGTTGACCTCCAGATCGAAGTGACTGTTGCGACTCCACGGAGAAGCGAAAGTGGCGACTTCCGGCGTCGTTGTGAACGGAGGTGAGTTCAGATATTGGTTTGGTAGTGTATGTGTATTATAAAATCGTGCATCCCCTTTTCACCACAGAAGGGCAGAAGAGCTTAAATTTTCAGTTTCAAGGCGTTATGATATGTTGAAATTCATAGTTTGTGTTATTATCTGCAGTGGGATGTATGTGGTAAACTTGAATTTTGGTTAAAATTGACGGAATGCTTGTATAATGTAGTGCAATGTGTTTGATAATGGGCAAAATAACAGCACACAGAAAAATCATATGTTAACTTTGTCTGGCCTAAAAGTAGGTTTGTTAGGGTATTTTTAAGCTGAATGTATATGCTAATGTGGGGAATTTATTGGCATTCTGGGTTTGTTTTGGTAAGAAGTAAAGTTTGTGTGTTTTGGTTTCCAATTTGGTAATTGAGCTTATACCACATAATATGTTCTGTATCACAACCTGAGCCTTTTGTTGAAGTAGTTTACATTTGTTGAAAACCCTTAGAGGTTAGAGGGTTCATATTGCTGCCATGGTATGTTTATGTGAGTTTGTGAATAACTTGGAACCCACAGCTATGTACAAAATCAGAGAAAAGACATAAATGAATAAAAGTTCCTTGTTGAAGCAGCTAGAATTTGAGTTTGGAAGATTTATAAAATGATACGTGTAGTGGTATGTTTTTATTTGTTTGAATGTATCTTTTTTAGTTTTATTCATTGCTGTAGTAATTATGTATGTTATTTGCAGAAATGGATACTGTTGGAATATTGGTATGCTACAATGGAAGTTGGGTTAAGAAGGATAACATTGAGAGTTACGAAGGTGGGGAGGCTAAAGGCATAATAGTGTCACGGAATGTAACGTTTTCCGACCTTGTTCAGCGCATTTATAAGATCATGGATGCAGATCCCACGAAATATATTGTCACACTGAAATATTCAGTTCCTGTATCCTCATCTGTCTGTAAGCATATAAGGGTTGAAGACAATGATGATGTTAAATATTTTGTAAAGTACAACACAGATGTTATGGCCTCTAAAGTAACCCCTTTAGTAGCAAGCTTGAAAAATATTGAAGGTCATGGTATTGAAGGGTGCAATGGCATTGTAAGCGTTGAGAGTAGCAATGCTCCTGCTGACTTTGTTGTGGAACAAAGAAATGTGGTAATTCGGGACAATGAAACTGAAAATGGTGGGAATGATTTTAATTGGAGTGATTGGGTTGAAGAAGTGAATTTTGAAAGTGGTGAAAACATAGTTGCTGATTTCAATGAACCTAGCAACGAAGAGGAACCGCAGTCTGCTCCGATTCTGCATCCTCATGAGGACAGCAATGTCGAACCCTCCACTGTGCAGTGTAGACAGGTGCAATCCGAACCTCCCCGACAATCAAGTTCGACTGAAATGCATACAAGTCGGGGTGATTTGAAGCATGGTCAGAGTTTGGAATATATTCAGTATGGTGGAGGCGTTTCGTGCATAAATTGGGAAGCAAATTTGAAGGTTGGCCGAGTTTATCCAAATAAGATTGCCCTTTTAAAAACCATCAGTTTAGCAGCTATTACAGGCCACTTTCGATTGAGAACTGTCCAATCTGGGAAGCATCGGTTGTGTGTTCGCTGTTGGCAGCTTCCTTGCCCTTGGAAAGTTCGGGCATATAAAGTTGGATTACATGAGTTTAAGGTTGTTAAATACGATCCACTTCATGAATGTGATATAACGTATATAAGTAGTCATCATCCTCAAGCTACGACTGAACTGCTGTCTGACTGTGTTAAGTGGAGATTTCAGGATTCGCGCAGCATTTATACAGCAGCTGATATCAAGAAAGATGTGAAACAAAATTTCGGTGTGAGCATAAGCTACTCTACAGCGTGGAGAAGCCGAGAGTTAGCTTTCAAAAGAATTAGAGGGTCTGCAGAAGAGTCGTATTCCCTTCTCCCTTCCTATTGTTATGAATTGGAGCGTACAAATCCGGGAACTTTGACATACATTGAGACTGATGCAGCTGATCACTTCTTATATTTTTTTATGGCAATTGGTGCATGCATACGAGGATTTAAGTCGTCAATGCGGCCCGTGATTGCTGTTGATGCTACTCATTTGAAGTGCAAGTATAGAGGTGTTTTGTTTGTTGCGACCGCATTTGATGGAAATCGGAACATATATCCTATTGCCTTTGGGATTGGAGATTTGGAGACGGATGCAGCTTGGGAGTGGTTTTTGAGAAAACTACATTGTGCAATTGGTGATTGCTCGAATCTCGTTGTCATATCAGATCGCAATGTTAGCATACAAAATGGGTTGCGTAGAGTTTTTCCTGGGGCAAGCCATGGTATTTGCTTTTATCACTTGAAAGGCAATATCAAAGCCTCATTTAAGTTGAAGCAGCGGGATCCGATATTGGGGTATTTTGTAAGGGCAGCTAAGTCTTATCGTCTAGCGGAGTTCAATCGTCACTTTTCCAGGATAAACAATGACCGAGTGCGAACTTATTTACTACGTGCAGGCATCCAGAAGTGGTCTCGGGCCCATTGTGATGGACGACGATATAATGTGATGACAACGAATATTGTGGAGTCCATTAATTCAGTTCTTCGGTTTGCAAGGATGCTTCCGGTGCTACACTTGATTGACGAAATTACAAATCTACTTGTCTGTTGGTTT